TGTAAAACTTTATGTGTTATGAATGAATGTATTTTCTTAGAACCAATAGCTTTCAGCAAATTCCTAAGTGATCTATGACCCAACGTTTTAAAATAGTAGACTTTTCAGTATTTAATTAAAAGTGATAGAAAAATATGGCTTTAATAAGACCGACAGGTTGCATGACATCAGATATCTGGAAAACTATGGTTGGCCATAAATAGCAATGGGTGTCATTAAAATCTTTACTAGGCAGTATCTAAGAGTTTATATAGGCCTGCTCATTCCATTATCTTTGTGCTAGTATTGGCTAGCGTAATATTCCTAGCCATCTTATATACCTCAGACACTCCACACAGCAAAAGAAAGAAAAGTAAATTTCCTCTAGGTAAGAAAGGAAATGAGTTTGACTGGTCCATTCATTGAGTTGGATGTGCAGCATCACATCTGATGTCATCAGGGATATAGCAGATGCCAACAGAAACCTTTGATAGGTGTCTTTTCTCTCCTCGCTCGGTTGGTTCCTTCCTGGTGTTCAATCTCTTGGGTTTCGTGTAGGTTCAGAGTTCTTACACCTTTTCTTTTCCCTTCAGTTTCTTTCTCCTTTCTATGACTCAAAGCCAACAGGAGCTCCAACTAACCCAGCTCTACTCTAACCACTGTTAGTGACTGAGTTTTGTTTTCATTTCTTTTTGCACATGAGCACCACTGCTAACTGCTAGCATTTTAAAAGTACAACTTTTTTTTTTTTTTGTATTTCATAGTGAAACCTCTGAGCATTTGGTAAGTAGAAAGTGAACAGAAACCCTTTTTTCATTGAGTTGGTTTTAGTTTGATCAACTTAAATAGTAAGTCCGAAAAAAAAATAAAACAAATAGATTTATATTGGGGGGACTATTTTGACAGTGGAGAGCAATAGGAAGAACTGGGCTCCAAGATTTTTATTAAAAGACATATTCAGCCAAGGAACAGACAGCTTGATATCATTTCGCTGTCATTTAGGACAGAACCTCAACACGGCTAAGGAGGAAGTTCCGTCCTGTCAAAGCTTTCTCATCCTTGCCCATGCTTACGCTGCATTTCCCCAAATGCCCCAGATCCATGTTCTTCGCGCTTCCATGCTTTCTCCCGTACTGTGTGCTCGACACCTAACCCATGTAAACGTACTTCCTTCCTGTTTGCGCATTAAGCCAATAATTCACCTCCTCTGTCATGGTGTAAAACAGATACGCTAATTTTGAGTGATTTACCCTTTCTCTCCCAATTCTTTTCCCTCAAATTCAGCTTAAAAATCAGCAGTCAACTGCCAATGTGTTGGAGGTAAATGGTTCACAGACACACAGAGAGAGCACACCAGGTGCCTCCTCCTCCTCATGCCTGTCCGTGACTGCTTTCCACCAGCCCAATTTTAACAAGGCAGTGGCTCCATCCCACCGTCACCTGGTGGTCTGGAGCCTCCCGTCTACCTCCAACCCAGGGCCTCTCAGCTTGTTTGTATAAACATCCGTATGCACAACCATGCCACATGCTCTCCCGGGACAGACTCTTCCCTGAGCGAGCACTCCTCCCAATCTGAGAGTGAAGTCCTCCACGGCCATTCTGGCTGAACTACAGCTGGGCAACTCTGACACCCCTGATTGCTTGGAGACACCTTTCCCAACCGGGGGTCAGAGAGCTGCTGTGACAGATGGCGTCACCTTAGCAACCCCCTGCTGCCACTCATGTAATTAGTCTTCCTTCCTTTGCCTCCACCATTTTTTAAAGGCCTGTACTTGTTTGTTATCCGTGTTTCGTGGCTGAGCATTTTTATTTGCATAGGTGTTGATTAGCAAACCAACTCTCTACCATCTGTTAGGGAAAGCTATTGAGTCCTCTTCACTAAGCCCACTGGTGCTAAAAGTTTTACTGATATTCCCCTTCTTACACATAGGTGCTATTTATGGTAACTCAAAAATGGTCTGCTTCTGATTCACTGTTTTTCTGTGCTATAAAGTGGTTTATTTCTAAGGCACTGTATCAAAAATATAAATAAGTAGATTATTGTGGTTAAATTATAAAGTCCAAAATGTTTCAAATATTGTAACTTACCTGGAAGATGACCCGTTCTCTAAGACACATCGCTGTGTCCTGGGTTAATAATAGTTTGTGCACTATCTTTCTCCCATGAGTGAATCTGACCGCATAGCTCTAATGGTTCTTTCTGCTCTTTTGATGACTGTCACCTCCAGTGAGCTCTCTTCTGTCACTATGGGAGTGGGTGACGTAAACAGTCTTAGCCCAACTTATATAAATATAGCCTGAAGTTGTTTTGAGATATTTTCCCTGAGCCATCCCAGTTTTGAAATTTATGAAAGTATTTTTCTTTGATATCTCAACAATTTGTCTTTCATTTATGCACTATAGAGATAGTTCTTATATATATATGTGCTATCATGGCCATGTCTATAATCTCATTCAGCGGTCACTAGTCAGTGGCTAACAAGTGGCTAAGATGCTGCTCATTCTTCTCACGGAGCTCCTCAGTCAATGAAGAGACCGTGATGTCCACGGAAGGATGCACAGCTTTGAGCATCTGCCAATTCGAGCAGAGAGGGAGAGACTTTCTGAAATTGTTGCCCTCGTAAACTCTTGATGGGTTCTGTCAAAGGGAAAATACAGTTGTGCTACATAGCTTCTAGATACTGTCATGGCATAGCACTCTAAAACTTGAATTTGCATACAAGACAAATGCCACAAGATATATATAATTTCTACAACTACATAAAAATTTAAAGAGTATCTCTTTTCAGTTGTTTGGGGTGATTTAGTATTCATCAAGTGGCTGGATATAAAATTTATTTTCTGGGAATAACTGAACCAAACACCTGGCCACAGATGACCAGCCTGTAGCCTCAGGTATGGGTCCCTCCCGTGTTCTATGTTGGGAAAATTTTTTTTAATCTTTTAATAACTTTAGGGGCATTCAGCCAAAAAAGTTTCCTTAGTTAAGGCCCTTTTGGATTGTCACGTATATATACTATCTTGTGTCTGTATGCCATCAGAGGTGTCTTTAACTGAAGCTAGGCCAATTATCAGTTTATTGCACATGAACTCTCCAGAAGCTACTATGCAGAATTATTAACTTACTATGATCAAAAAAGTAAATCTGCTTTCAATGGTTTGTCCTTTTCTCTCTAATTGGAGCTTTGGCAGTCATCACAGTAATTCACATTTCCTTAGTATTATATAGGTTTGATAGCCCTAACCCAAATATCCAAATTGTATAATTTTTTAAAATTTGAAACATTTTAAGTGTTGACATGACATTGTAAGTTAAAAAAAATCCATACCTGACTTCATGTGTGATTAAAAATTTTTTTTAATTAGAGACCGGAGAAATAGTTCACTAATTCAGAGTACTGGCTCTTAGAGGGTCTGCATTCAGTTCCCAGCACCTACATGGAAGCTCACAACCACTATGATAGGATCCGATGCCCTCTTCTGGTGTGCAGACATACATGCAGGCAAAGTACCCGTATATAGAAAATATAGAAATAAAAAAGCTTTAAGGGCACCACAATTTTATACATAATTTCATATTTAGACTTGAGATCCATACCTCCCACAAAAGATATGTCAAGCTGTGTATTTATGAGCACCCCATATCCAAAGCTGTGTGAAGTCTGAGAGACTTCTGTCCCTAAGAATAAGGGATACTCAGCTGTTACAGAAACCTTAGTTTTTAATAAGAATTATTCTGTTTTTTTTTACATTCATTATCATAACACATCAAAGTTGATTTAGAAAAAGAGACAAAACATATTTGTAGCTTGCTCAGCAGAGTTATGTAAAGGTCCTTCCTGTGTTCTACACTTGTCTAAATGTCTGGTTTAAAAGGCCCTTCACATGGGGCTGCTTAGAAAATAAGAGAATTTTTCTAATAGCTTATATTTAGTGCCATCCTTATAATTGAATATTTATTGATTTTAGGGCCTAGGTGATATGACTTTCAAGTAAATTGGCTTTGGTCTGGATCGTTTGAAAGCATAACCATCTCAGAGTGAGGTCATATACATACACTCCTCACCTGTTGTGTTTCATACTTATGTAGTTGAAATTTATTTTGTTTAAAAAAGTAGAAGAGTCTATAAGTTATGAGTCTTTGTCTGTGCCTATCGATGTTTATATTACTCATCTGTAATGTTCTTTGAACTAATATCCTTACTAATGTTTTAACTCACTTGCATGCATTATTCAGTTTGCATAATTCTCAGTGGTATGTTCTGCAGAGTAGCCCTGACCTGGACGTCTCTGATCTAAGCTGGTGCAATTCAGTCCCAGCCTGTGTCCTGTGACTCTCGGCTAGGTCACCAATGCCAAGTTGCATATCTTAACAACCACAAGAGAAGCGTGACTGTCTCAATGAGAAGTGTCGGGTAGCATTAGAAATAGAAAATATTCAGATGTAAACAAGTAACTCCGTGTATTAGGAGATCAGAATAGAATGCTAAGTAAAGTTGAAGCAAGGAGAAGCCAGTGTTTTGACACCTTTACAATGGTCTACCAGGTACGTGACTGCTAGAATAGCTCGTTTCATGACTCATAAACCCGAACATTTGCCTAATTCATTAGAGAATGTTCTGACTGAGTTGTGAACCAGCCCCCTCCTCCTGTCAGAGAGCATTCATCTCAAATCCGCCATGCAGAAGGATGCCAGGAAGTTGTGACTGCTCAAGTCCTGGTTGTGAGAGCTCAGTTATCCTCCCCATTTGGCAGTGACCCCTGGTGGTACCCTTAAAATCAGAGCAGTGTGCCTGCTGCCTGGCTGCTCTCCCTTTTCCTAACCACTTCAGACACATGAAGAATAGGATGGAGAAAACGGAAAATAGCCGAGTACTTTGTCCCTCTGACGTCAGTTCCCAAAACAAGTAAAAGCCTTGACGTTGATGACCGTCCTGGAATTGGGAATTCTCGCTGTCGTTTAACAGAGTGACGTTCACAGGGAACCGTGTGCTCTAACGGGGTCCATGTGCTTTTCTCAGAGCCAGATAACCATCAATGGCAACTCTGGCGGCGCTGTGAGTCCAGTCAGTTACTATCAAAGGCCATTCTCCCCTTCCGCGTACTCCCTTCCAGCCTCGCTCAACTCCAGCCTTATCATGCAGCATGGCAGATCGCTTGGTAAGTACTGTAATCATGATCTCCGCACCAGCTTTAACGTGACAACTGTATATCACAGGGGAAAAATGTAAGGTAACCAAGCTGAGGCGGGGTGACCGGTACCACCCACTGGTGACCCTAAGTTGGGAGGAATTAGAACTTTCTGTTTCTACAATGTTTTTACGAGGGCATACATTGTAGAAAAGAGGTCCTGGTGGCAATTCCATCTGTAGCTAATCCTGGAGAACGCTATTTTCAGTTGGTATTTAAGTGAAGGGTAGAAAGACCAGGAAAATACCTAAGAGATAAGGGAGCTTCTTAGACCCAGAAAACACTAATGTAGCATTTTTCTATTGAGGTGGCTTGCTCCTTTGTGGAAAGAATGTTCATTCTAGAATCTTCTTTAGTTATGGCTATAGAAAATTGTTTAACAATTAAAACAGTGTAAAAGGGGATAGGTTACAGTCACACAGTGAGGTCCTGGATCACACTGTCATAAGCTGCCAAACTGAGGTTCGAAGGCCATCAGTCAGCACCAGGGCAGGAGGAAGTGAAGGAGAACTCCCTTCAGTGAAGATCCTACAGTTTATAGAGACAAGTTCTTAACCATTTGGCGATTAAAAGTTTGGCGAAGACAAGGCCCTTGGTTCTGAGGGAGTGGCCCAGTGGTTTAAGGTCACCTGTTGCTCTCCTCGAAGACCCAGGCTCCATTCCCAACACCCAAATGATGGTTTGCAACCTTCCGGGACTCTAGTTCCAAGGGATCTGACACCCTCTTCTGACCTCTGAGGACACCAAGCACACACGTGGGGTACATACATACACATAAGCATAAAATATATAAATCTAAGTGAATTTTTTTGCTATACTCCTCCTGGAACAAAAATGATTACTTCCTAAACCATTGAGTGTTACTCTTTGTCCCATTGCTTGCCGTAGTGGGCACAGTTTTCCCCAGTCTACCAAATAAAATATATAAATACTCAAGCATAGACTGGCCTTGACTTTAGATCTAACCTGTAAGTAGATTTTATACATGTTTATATATAAACAATGAACATATAAAAGTTCAATCCAAAACTTTTAAGTGTATAATTAAGTGTAAACTCTTTAGAGTCTCCTGGAAAAAGTTTGAGCTACATAAAGATAGAAACATCTTATATAGCAAAATAAATTAGCATAGTTTAAAAATAATGTAGCAACTATTTCTTAGTTGCTAAAAATTCAACGTAAAAATTCCAAACCTTGTTTGAAAAGTCTTACCAAACTGAACCACTGTGTGATGTTAGGATGAAAACCATTTCCATGACTTTGAGAACCTGGAAAGTTTTCAGAAGAACAGAGCAGAAAGGATGCTCAGGAGAGTATACACCCATATGAACCTCTCAAAAAGAGAGGGACCATCTTGCAAACACTACAGATCAGCAACAGGGATAAAGATCTAGAACACAGGACTGTACACCATTCTGTAGTTGGTAGCAGTCCCTTTTCCCACGTCCCACATTGACTCTGAACTGAACAAATCTGATACCACAGGCTTACTAAAGAACACTTCATGTCAACTTCAAGCCCACTCGTGGTAGAACTCAGCTTCCATGGTCAACAAAACTTCACTAAGGTTTTAAAGACAGTCATGGGACTCATTAAAGAAGTCTCAATATACTTGGGCCTCTTCTAATGCTGCTCCAGGGAGCCATTCCTGAAGCTTGTAATGATCTCCTTTCAGACTGTGAGAAAGAGGAGCTTGCTTGTGCCAAATTCCTCTCTCTGACAACTGGTCTGCAGCTCGGTTTTATAAGAGGCTCCACTATTTCAAGATTTTGTGATGCAATTATGCATTATTTTACACGAAAATGAAACTTTCTAAATTATTTCAGCCATTCCTAAATGATCATTAAATGTGACTCTTTATCCCATTGCCTGTCTGAGTGAACAGTTTCCCCCAGTCTACCAAATAAAAAAAAAAATTAAATACTCAAGTATAGACGGGCTTTGACTTTAGACCTAACCAGTGAGTAGATTTTACACATAAGCTGTTTAACATGGAGAGAAATTTCCTGTATAAACATTGAACAACTTCCAATTGGCCAAGGCAATGATGCAAGTGGAATTTACAAGTCCACTCTGCCCTAGTTGAACTTCAGCTTTAGTCAAAGACATAGGATCAGAAACGTAACAGTCTGTGGGCCGTAGAAGAGAAATACAGAAAAGACTTTACTTTCATCGCGCAAGCTGCTTGTTTGTATGGTCATATGAACTATACGTGAAGACAGACTTGATACTGTTCCTTAGGCTTGGACCAGGGCACATTCCGGGTGTTCAGAAGAGTGTGGCTGCTGACAAAAAGTCCTAGCATTTTAGCTATCTCATCAAGGCCTTTGAGGAATTAAAATAAAAAGTCAACCAGGGTGAAGTGATGCACTGTGACCTCGTTTAGAACAGCTTGGGGAGATGGGATCTGTGTGACCAACCAATGACACCATGAGGCACTTCCGTTCCTAGACGCATCCAATCAATTCAAAAGTGCCTTGAAAAGCTTTTCTGTTGCAAACTAAATTGAAAATGGCAGTAATTATAGCAGTTATAACGATATAATGGCTATCAGACTAGAGAGAGCATAACACTAAATACCCATGTGAAAATGAGTCAGCCTTAAGATGCTTCTTTTGATGCTTTGCTTGTTCTGCCTGGAAAACACATTCATATATGATATAAAGTTCATTATGCTATCTACACATGATAGAAATATTGTAAAGCATATATATGTTTGAAAATGAACTCCACACACACATATATATATTTGAATATATAAATATAATCAGCAAATGCTATCCCGAAACATAAGAATTATTCAGCTTCCCACAGAGAAGAACTCAAAAACAGTCCAGCTGAAGCAGGTCACACAGAGCCTAAATGAAGACTCGGTTCTGGTTCACCAAGTTCTGAAAGTTCAAAACAGCAGGAAGTCACATCACTACTGCATCATGTGCCCACCAATAACGTTCTTTTTTCTCCAAAACTATATTTTTAACTTAGAATGAGTAGACTAGGTCATACATATGTTCTCTGTTACCTCTGAGAGTATTCCAGACATTCATAATATTAACATGTAGATGGAAATTTGTTAAGCCTCATGTAACTTAAATCCTTAGGACAACTGTCAGTCTTAAAGGATAAAAAGCCATGACATGGGTATTTTTCTAAAGCCAACAATATTAAATATTATTAAATAAATTCAATAAATTGTAATCACTCACAAGCACTTGTTTACCCATAAGCTTTTACTTGCTAGTGTATGTCTACATCAAAAAAAGAAAAAAAAAACCCTAAGTTTTATTTTCAATTTCTTTTTATGGAATCATTCTTTGGCTCAATAAGCCTATTGCTTCTCAAAAGTTACCTCTGGTTTCTTCCTCAAAGGATAAAAAACCATGACATGGGTATTTTCCTAAAGCCAACAATATTAAATATTATTAAATAAATTCAATAAATTGTAATCACTCACAAGCACTTGTTTACCCATAAGCTTTCACTTGCTAGTGTATGTCTAGATAAAAAAAAAAAAACTAAGTTTTATTTTCAATTTCTTTTTATGGAATCATTCTTTGGCTCAATAAGCCTATTGCTTCTCAAAAGTTACCTCTGGTCCCTTCCTCATACAGCAGTCAGCAGCTTCACAAGAGTCATATGTGAGAGTAACAACCTAAGGGCATTTATAAAGGTGACTCTTGCCCCCCCATCCTATCCATCCAAGAGGACTGCAAGGGAAGTGAGATGGGGCAAGCTCAGTGTCCCCCAACATGGCTGCCCACATCATTCAGCCGTTCCTCTTCCTCTTACCCTTCTTTGTAAAATGGTGAGGTCATCGTTGTCCCATACGTGGATGTGACATCCACTCCTGAATGAGATGGCGTACATACGTTAAAAGGCAAAGAGCTATAGCTGTGGGGTTTATTGTGGGTTGGCCATCAATGTTCAAGAGCCACCATTAATTTGTAGTCTGTGTGCGCATCTGGGGTGCTCCCTGCCACCGTGTTTCCTCCACAGACTCTGCAGAGACCTATTCCCAGCATGCCCAGTCTCTGGACGGCACCATGGGAGGCGCCATCCCACTGTACAGGTCCTCAGAGGAAGAGAAGAGAGTGACGGTTATCAAAGCCCCGCATTACCCAGGGATCGGCCCCGTGGACGAATCCGGCATCCCCACAGCCATTAGAACGGTAAGCCATGCCAGGGTCTGCCCATGACCTCCATAAAGGGTGGATTGTGCATGCTGTCATGCATTCCTGGGGTCTTATAGCATGACGATTGTCCTCTGAGCCATCGGAGCTCCCATGAATGCCAGGCTGTGTGGCAGAGGGAGAAAACTGCCGAGGGACGACAACGACGCAATGTCGTTTCCCCGTTTGAATTGGAAATCATGAAACTGTGGGTTTTGTTAAATAGCAACACTCCGCTTTTAACTTTCTATCAAGGAGAGGTGAGCCTAGAGAGGAAAAGGGAAAGGGGCGAAGTGAGTAGGTCCTTTCACAGTATCCAATTCCCACATGCACTGTAAAAAGACAAGCGACTGGGTTCTCGAAATGGATGTGAGTTCACGCCAGGGGATGGGGGAACTGTCAACTGGGACTTGGGAGGTGAGATGATTGGAGGGAAGGGAGGTAATATCATGGGAAGGAAACACTGTCTGTGGAAAAAAAAAAAAAAGAACATTTGCATGCCCTCCTCTGCCAAGCCTGCTGCGAGCTCCCTGGATGATAAGTCAAAGTGTTGAGGGCATTTTTTTTTTTAGTCTTTAAACTCTGCCAAAGCGTTACTCAGTGTGCCGGGGCAGCCCTTTCTGGCAACGCTCCGCAGCAGCAGCAGAGCCTAGGCAGGCAGCTGTGTGCTGACCACGTCCATTGCAAGAAGAGGTCTGTGGTAGCAGAGAAGGAAGACCTGGGAAGCCAGGATGAGAGCCACGGCGTCTCTGCAGGTGAACTTGGTGGGGCTGGAGGAGGGAGTGCCAGCTGCATAGACGTTGCCTGTGTGCCCACATAAAGGGCTGAGATGCTGCCAAGAGCAGCATCCGCCGAACGGAAACCCGGGAGCCAGGGACAGTAAGGGACCTAGCAAAAGAACGGGAAGGCTATCAGGACAGACGGCAATGGTGAGACAGGAAACATTTGAAAACAGTGAAAGATGAAGTAGGAGCTGTTTCTGAGTTTGCAGTGATCGTGTTTTATACACAGACATGAGTTCAGAATTGATTATTCTTGGCTTCAGTATTGTAGTTGTAGCCAAAAATAAGTATATCTATATAGCATACACTTGGGATTGAGACTTCTCAGATGGTTAAGGATGTTGAATGTGACTAATAAAGCTGGCAAAATCTGTATTGAAATAAATATGGCCATATTTAAGTGACAGGAAAGATCCCAGGGCTAGTGACTAATCGGCTCCGTTTAATGACAGTTGTATGTTCCTGATGGCAGTGTTTGGACATTTGTTTTCCTTTCAGAATTTCTGACTCAAAATGACTAAATTTGAATTTTGCCATGGTGATGGGGGGATAATGACTCAGACAGGAACGGTGTCATGGATTATGCCTGTTAGGTTTTCAGTATACTGTGTCTAAGGGCTAAGAGATCATTGCTTTCTGTGCAGTTACAGACGCTGTCTGAGAGATTCTATCTAAAACCTTCGGATGTGTTTAAGTTAGTAAATGATATGTAAAAGTGGACATTTAATGTGATCCATTCTTTTTCATCTGTAGATTTTTAATCTGTAATGTTTGACTCGCAAGTCTTTGTTAGGGTTTTTAAAGAAAAACCTAAGATGTCGGAGATGATAAACAAAACTCAATTAATACTAAAAGGTTTATATTACCTACTGCCAAATGATAAGCAGCCATATATGTCCGCTAAGTATGTGATGTGAATTTCCCTACGGAAAATTGAAAGTGAATTATTAGCCACTGCAAAAGCTCCTTAAAAGGAGCCCTGTTGTTTTTTTTTTTTTTCTGTATAACTTGCTCAGACCTTTAAAACCGTACAAGAGGGATCCTGTTCATGTTTACTGCTCTGCAGCCTTACGAATCACACATCCAAGTATAGATCTGTATTTATAAATCTTGAATCCTGCCGTCGCCAGGCCAAGACTATCCAAGGTTATTTTCTTTCCCTATCCTTGTGGAAAGTAATGATGATCAGACTCAAATTGCTTCAGCTTCCTGCTCAGTTAGGTATATGTAAACCAGCACTGACTCCATGTGCCATGTTGGGGTATCCTCCTAGACAACTGTTACCATGGCAATGGGATATCGTAAAGTGGTCCAGGAACTGTTGAGAAGAATAACTGAATACTCACTACTTTTGAGTTTTTGGGATGGAGGGAGAGCATCCCTTCTCCCGTGGCTGGGATGTCTGTCTACATCAGCCTTTTCCTGCCGAAAACTTCAAAACAGTAATACAAATCTCTGGGGCTCTGAGCCCACGAGACTGTGTACGAAGCCTGGCTGGTTAAGTGAGATGCAAGCTTGCTTTCTTCTAATCCAGACATAACAGTTGCCGGGCTGTTTTAGAGGTTCCAGGACCAAAAGTGGAATAGGATTATTATTGTGTTATAGGTAGAAAATGGCTTTTAAAAAAAAATGTCTGCATGTGAAATTAGTGAACAGTGCCGATGTTTCATGACTAGAAGAAGATGGATGTTGAAGCCTGTTTTGATAAGGCCAGGGATGACGGCTGGGCAGGAGTTAGGGAGTCTATGCAAAATGCTTCTGAAGGACACAGCCAAAAGTAAACCTCCCAAGTATGGACTTCGGCATTCATAGTCTCAGTGTGAGACACCACATGCTCCCAAATGGCACTGGCAAAAGGGACGGAAGTGCTCACAGCACTTCTTTTAGGAAGGGGACACCGACTCTGCAAGTCTCCGCTTTACCCGCCTCACAGTCTCGCTGCCAGCTGACGGGGCATTTCCTGGCTTCTCTGTACTCTCCATATAAAGCTAACAGATGGCATCACTGTGGGATCCTGCCTGATATAGGCCCTCTGGCAAGTGCAGACAACAATGCTGTCTGTCACGCTGCATTGCCTTATACAGCAATACACCTTCCTTATTCAGCCTCCCCATTCTCATTGGCTGCGTCCAGGTACAGTGAGAAACTATTTTTATACACAGTTGTATGTTCCTTTTGTGCTTGTGGCTTTAATGGTGTAAAACTAAGCTAGAAAGAAAGCGTGATGAAAGAGGGGCCTGCCATCAGAAAAATCAATGACCACTAAAGATATTCGATCAAATATGTTTGCGTGGACGCATGTATGTGGACACGTGTACCTGTGTGTACACGGGTGTGCACAGAGAGGCTGGCAGGCAAAACTGGGTATATTCTTCAGTTGCTGCCCAGTCTTCTTCACCAAACCCAGAACTGTTTTCTTCCTCCTCAGAGCTGGGGTTACAGGAGCCCACTTCCATGCCCAGTTTTTTATGTGGGTGCTGGAAACAGGAGCCCAGGTTCTCAAACTTACATGGCAGGTACCTCACTGACTTAAGCCTTGGCCCCGGTGTTCCATTATGCTGTTTGAACCAGCAAACAGCAGATTCCTGCCTCTTTTTAGATAACGCCACACACACACACACACACACACTAGTTCCTATCATTTGGCTGTATAGACACTAGTTCCTATTATTTAGCCATATAATAATCAATGATTTTATATATATATGTATATATTATAGAAGAAGCTTATAATGCATATGTGATTCTCAACAAAACAGATGTTCATTTACATGTCTAGTGACTGTCAGAATTGTCTACTTCCAGAACTCAAAATAAATGTAAATACTGCCTAACAGTTTCTAGGTGAAAAATTCAATGACCACATCTATAAAAGTCAGAATATAAAATATCAAACACTTTCCACTCTTACAAGTCCTAACTAATAATGCTTTGTTGTTGTTGTTTTAAATTCTGCTCTCTCCTATATTACATCCAGACCCAACCTCAATTTTCCCTCCCTCAGCAGACGTCCCCCCATTCGCTTCCCAGGGATATCAACCAAACACAGCATAGTCTAACAAATATTTTAAATCAGGGTCATGACCTTGGAAAAATCAGATGTTTTTAAGTTGTCTGTGCACAGACAGAAAAGTCGAGATGAATATCTTGCTGAGCAAATTGTTGCGCTACAGTTAGAAAAGAGAACGTGCACTTTCACAGACGGTAAGACAGAGTTGCATCCCATAGGTTCGCTCAGCATTTCACTCCACGGGTGTTGGAGTTTCCCACTGCCTTCAGTCATGGAGATCTATTATAGTGGAAGGACTACTCTAAGCCCTTAACATACATTGTGAGAGACCGAGACTCAGGAGAATAAGGCACAGAGTCAAAGAGGTGGCTGTTTGACATCCATCTCTAGCTACTACTTGCTCACAGGGGCATGCATACCTGTGCACACAAGCATATGCCCCCGACACACACCCAAAGAAATGAAGAGACGCATAGCTTTCTCAGAGCCCAACCTCTAGGAAGCATTAAGTAGCAACCAAAGGCTCCAAGGTTCGAATGTTGTTTAATGATTGGACATTAATTTCCTATTTGTACTATAACCTGCTGCTTCTATCACACCTAAAGCCTGGCATGCCTAAGGTACGCCTACTATCACAGAGTTTATAATTTAGCAAAGCAAAAGTTGTGTGTACTTTTATGTCTTGTCATAGGTGTTTTAAAATCAAATCATAGCTACACAAATGCTTGCACACACACAGTCCATGACTTTGCATTGTCTGATAAATTCAGTATTTTTGTCACTTAGACTAGCAGATACTAATTTTTTTGTCTTCATTGAAGCTGATCAGAATATCTACCACTTGAGTCAAAAATATCCCCTAGTAATTTTTAAATGTCTTCGCAGAACACTCAATAGAAAAATTTAAGAATTATGATACGGAATAGGGAAATGGATCTGTTGGATGCTTGCGGGGCAAGCATGAGAACCTGCATTCCATGCCGAGCACCCACATAAAAAGCAGCATGATGGCACATACTGGTAACCCTAGAACTGGAGGATAGAGACAGAAGGATCCCTGGGACTGCCCTACCCACATTCGTAAGGCCTAGGTCCCAGAGAGACTATCAAAAACCAATGCCACTTCCTGAGAAACAACATCTAAGACTGTCTGTAGTAAGGAGGTCGCTAGTTTGTTCCCGGCCGCTCAGCCCCGAAATAATCACACAGAAACTGTAATCTGTGTATCGCCACGTGACCGTGGCTTACTACCAGCTAAAGTTCTGGCGTCTGTCTCCAGCAGGGCTACATGGCTTCTCTCTGACCCAGCATTCAGCTTAGTTTTCCCTGTCTAGTCTGTTCCCCTATAGCTCTGCTATAGGCCCAAAGCAGTTCCTTTATTTATCAATGGTAATCACAGCATACAGAGGAAAATCCCACATCAACTGTCCTCTGCCATATACACGCACACACAGTAATAAGCTGGTCCCATGATTTTATCCATGCAATCCCAGGACATGGTAGGCTGAGGTGGACAGATCATGAGTTAAAGGCCAGTTCAGGATACATAGGGAAGTCCTGCTTCAGACATATAATAATAATAACAATAATAGTAATAATAACAAGGAGATGAACTTTCATCCAACACTCAATATCTACTACTGGGCACAGCTGAAATGAATAAATAAAACTATACCACAGAATGTCCCAATTCAGTAAATAAGAGATACTCTGCTTAGAAACTGTGTAAGTAGCAGAATAAATTGCTGAAATTGTCATTAAGTCCTATAGAAATGCAAACCCACTGTTGGAAATATCGAATATTAGCAGTGAAGACCTTCCCCTGGAGTGGTGACATGAGAGAGTGAGATCTCAGATTGGGGGTCTGTGACCGAGGCAGATTTATTATAAGAGTTATAACATCGTAAGCAGTCATGAGCATTGCAGAGGTTCTGAAGACAGGCCAGGCCCACAAGGGTAAAGGCTTCAGGGAGAAAAGGCAGTCCCGTGTCACACAGTGATGGGTAGCCCATACCACGTGCTTGCAGTCAAGTGGTCTCAGATACTTGGCAGCAGGATAAGGGGGAAAGATTCGAACCCTGGTAATGTCAGGCCAACATTCAGAATGTGCCACCCATAGCCCCTGATTACTTAGGGTATGAGGTAAGCTACTTTTGGGACAGTGAGAATTATAGACCCACAGATAGTCACAGTAGGATGTCTGCCCTTTATCTATATCAGCTGGGAGAGAGAGAGGCTGCAGCAGCTGAATCGTGGCCTGAGCAGCCGTCAACCCAAAGATAGGGTTGGTAATTCTCCAATGTTCTCTTTGACAGACAGTCGACCGGCCGAAGGACTGGTACAAGACAATGTTTAAGCAAATTCACATGGTCCACAAGCCGGGTATGTACGCTCTTCTGTGTTTTTCGTTTTGTTATTTTCTTTTAATCAAGTGCTTATGAGTTGAAGGATATATACTCAGCTTTATATAGACTTGTCTCACACAAAAACATCAAGACCCCCGCAAACTTGATGGCCCCTTCTTTTCAGCATGTCTCCTAGTCTCCCTTTACCCCTAAATCACAGCTGTGTGCCTCTCCTGAACCATGAGCTACCAAGAAGCCTCCTTAGAGATGCCCTTGGAGTTCACCAGGTGTTCTAGCCTTAGCCCTCTGTCCATCTCTGTCGACATGCACACTGGGGCGCTGTGCCCTTCTGCTCCTGTCTGCCGTGCCTGTTTCTCACCAAAAGTGTGAGGGTAGCGGCTTCTCCTGATTACCACTCAGGACCATTGACTGCCTAGGGAAGTAGGGACAAGGGACCAGTTCTGTATGTATGACCAGGGCAGAAAGGCACATTGCTTTGTAGACAAGAAGATCACTCTGTAGAGCCCCAGAGTGCAATGTTTGGAAATACAAAGTGCTATTATATGCTAGAAAAAATATTGATTTTTTTTTTCTGGTGTGTTTCTGTCATTTCTCTGACCTTCTGCCATCTTGGCGACAAGGTGGCAGACTCCGGATTATCATGTTTATGTTTCATTTTCTAGATGAGGACACAGACATGTATAATACTCCTTACACATACAACGCAGGTAGGACGGCTCTCCTCGCTGGCGATGACCAGTCACACTCCGCTGTGGGGAAGAGCCCCACCCCCCACCCCACACTGTCAGTCCCTGTGATGAAGAGGAGGCCTTGCTTCCTTTCTCAGAGCATGCCTAACAAAAGATTGATCCTTTCTCCTGGAAATGAGAACTAACACTGTTTCACATCCGTCATCGCCCCCCCCCCCGTCCCCCTTCCCTTCCCCTGGTGGTTTATTCTCAACTTCAGGAATGTTTAACCACACAGTGAAGGGCCAGGGTGAAAGAACAGACTGTGGCCTGGTTACACAACAAAATAAAGATCTTTTTATCAGCAGAAAGGGTGATTATAATTGCATAAGACCTTGCAGATAGTATTCCCCCAAAACAAGTCAAGCGACGTGTTTTACGACCATGTCCAGGCTCTTGCTCCAAAATGGAACCATTCATTGAAAGCCATGAAAGCCTCGCTCTTGGCTGGGCCCCTTTTCTGACTCAGAGTCGCCAGTGCTCACAATGGAATGACTTCAACTCTGGACATTCCGCATGTGTCTGAATGTGCTGGCTTCTTGTGGAGTGGTCTTCGTGCTTGTGAGAGAGAGACCCCTAAGCTATGTCCCCTTTCATCAGTTTTTCCTTATGAAATTCCACCCGACCTAGCCATAGCCCATAAATGAGCCATAGCTCATTTAGGGTCCTCTTGTCACCCAAACAGAAAAAACTCCATGAGACTCCCCACTTCCTAAAACCTGATGACCAGCAGCCAGTCCTTTAACTGAGGGATTCCACTGCTCAATGACAAAGATAAATGAGAAAGAAAATTGGGGAAAAAAAAGTCATGCTGGTGACTTCTGGTGACCTCTGAGTTAGATTCTGTATCCCTAATCCCCATATTATTTCAGGAAGTCCATTCAAATGGTGTAACATAAGATGCTACATCAGTCTTGCCTCCGCGAGTCACCTCACAAGTCGAAGTGACTGTGGAGGTGACCCCAAAACACTTCAGAGCAGGTGCTGCCCAAAGTCGCTTCTCCCGGAAACAAACACACACAGACCTGTAAGAGGTGTAGTCAAGCATAGACAGACTTAGGCCAAGATTGAGACTCTGAGAAACTCGGAATTTTTATATACTTTTAAATATTGAAATGAGTCCGTCTCACTGGCGATTAATAAGCTGAAGTTCAGTTATGTGACCCTGTAAAGCCCAGGGAGTTTTATCATCCAGTCAGCCAACAAAACGCCTATAACCACCTCTAATAACCCAGAGCTTTGAGTCTTGCATGCCATTCCTGCCGCCCTCTTCTACCCACCAGAGCCAATCCTTCGAGCCCAACTCTAGTCCCATGAGATCCGTAATGCATTCTCTGTGTCCCTCATCATCTTCCCACATCCTTCCATTTTCACTATGTCTTTCTCGGTTGGATTTTATTAACTGCCACAAACTCCCTTTAAATCACATGTCTTCGTGTATGAGCTTGCTCAGCAGGGTTTTACCCTCCCTTGCCCCACATGGGAGATGCACCTCATGCACACAGCATGTTCTATATTTGTTGGACTGCAATTAACATATCAACTGTCTTATGTGCGTCAGTATTACAAAGTATTAGCTGCTATTTTAATCTTCCTCTGAAAGTTTGACTAAGGTGTCAGTTTCTGTGATTGGGAAGAAACCTTGAGGAGTAGCTGTAAGTTTATTTTTACTAAATAGCCCAAATTTTCATTAATTAGACAGTAGCGAATAATTTACTCTAACCAGTACCTATGTGCAAAACAAATCGATATCAACCTTAATTTATGAATTATCACTCATTAATTACATAAGTTAATAAACAATGTACCACCTAATGTACATATTATGAATATGCTTGTTGATAATTTTTGCAAAACCATTGGCTGTTTTGCAGAGCCCAACAACTCAGTGCACCTTCAAGTCATTTGCTTGTATTGTTGGCTTTTGTCTTTCTCGTGGCAGGTCTGTACAACTCACCATACAGCACTCAGTCACACCCTGCTGCGAAGACCCAGACCTACAGACCCCTTTCCAAGAGCCACTCAGACAACGGCACAGACGGTTTCAAGGAGACGCCCTCCCCAGTGCCTCCCCCGCATGTCCCACCACGACCGAGAGATCAATCTTCGACAGAAAAGTAAGGCTCCTTCCCACTCACATGGCTGCTCTTAGGATAAAAGCCCAACCAGAGTGGCACTCAGTGAAGTATCAGTCCAGTGGGGTGGAGCGAATATATGCAAAGACTTACTGTCTTCATCCGTATCGAGCATCCCTGCTGAGATTTATGCTGAGCCCTTTCTGGAAAGTCTCAGTCACCCTCTCACAATGCTCTAAATTAAACTTGATGTATCAGGGACACGAACTCTATTTTGTTCAGTGCGTGCAAATAAGCAATAAAGTGGTCACAGATGCAGTCCATAAGTAATATTTGTCTAAGTACTACAAACACACATACTATGTTGTGGGCATGAGTGTGCGCACACACACATACTATGTTGTAGGCATGCATGCACACACACACACACACTATGTTGTGGGCATACACGCGCACACACACATACACACACACAATGTTGTGGGCCTTGAAGAAGAGGCTCAGTGGTAGTGACTTGCTCCACATACCCTGCACTCTGATCTGAAATGGGGTAGAGTGTGGTACATCATTCATATAATCTCAGTCTTTATAAAGATGAGGCAGGAATTCAAGGCCACCCTGAGCTTCATAACTTCCAAGCTACACACTGGCATTATGTCTCAAAATAAACCGATATAAAATTACATAAAATAACTGGAAACAATTGGCATGGATTCCCCTTGCTGCCCCACTAAGAGACTAAGCAGTTAAATTTTTCCTTTTCACAGATTTGAAATTGCAGGTCTTTTACGATATCTATTAGAAGCCAAGAGAAATTATTCTTAAATCATAAATAAGGCCTGTTTAACAAGTGTCTGTGACTCATTTCCACCAGTTATTTTAACTGCTTCTAATTTTCATCTCCCCACTGAAACAGTTTTAAATAAGCTATTCACACCCAAATAACTTTTTATGAACACATTTCAACTGTGTTGTGTTAGTCAGACTGTTGCTAATCATCCCTGTTCGTGGTCATCTTTACTGATAGCTGGTTATGAGGCAAGCATCGGACTAAACACTGTCCTTCCCTTACCTCATTTTGTTCTGATGAGAACCCAATGGGATATAGGCTCCATTACAGAGAAAGGAGTGGGTTAGACTATTACAACAACTTGCTCTACTTGTATCAACAGAAAGTCCAAGCTAAGATTCAACCTCGACTTCCCCTAAAGACAAATCTTATGTTACCTTTACTGGTAATCAGTAAGTAGGAATGGAAAGGGCATTTATTATATTACTGGGTTTTTTAGTATTTTCTATGATATATTGTCTTGGCTATTCTGTTTCTCAGATAGCAAACAGGGACACAGTTTCATACAGATATGTAAACTAAAATGGAAAGTGTAAGGGCTCTCTGTGGACAGAGCTCATTGATTGGCTCTACACCTAGGATTTGGTCCTCATTGTCCTCTCTTAGGGGCACTTCTGTGTCCACCCTTCTATGGAGAAAGAATATCATTCCATTCCATAGGAATCGGAATATCCTAACTCAAAATATCAAACACTCCTTTTCTCAAACAAAAGTAAAAAATACATATTTAATAATCCTTCCTGCTCTCTGAAGGAAGTTTTCTGGTTTAGTTCTAGCTGCCCAGAAAAGCTTGCTATCATGAGCCCTTCTCTGAAAATGTACTTCCCAGGAGCCCTTGACAGACCCTCAACGGGGTCAATGCCGGGAAAAGATTAGTTCCCAGAGAGAGAAACATGGGCCTCCAGTGTTTCAAGACTCACGCCAAGGGGTCTCCCACACCACTCTGCCTGTGTATGCCAGCCCAAGTGATGCAGTTGGGATTCTCACGTGTGCACTCAGATGCCATTTACAAGAATAAGATCAAACAACGTATGTCCATTAGTCCTTGTCCCTCTGGATCAAGGAAGCCAGGTTACCAGGTAATTAAACTGACAAAGCTTCACGGAGCACACTGCCACTTCTTTTAAACTCGGATGCGCACGGCTGTCATTAGGGACCCGAGGGTTAGCAACAAGTCACTGTCCATGCGTCACCTCTTCTGTGAGTTTTTACAGCCATAGTCACACAGGTAAAAGCAGAAGGAAAAGTGAGCTAAAAGGGATAGCTTGATGTAAATCATTTATTTATTAAACAATTTATGCTTGATGTAAGTCATTTACTTATTAAACATATTTTTAGTGTTAAGCAATTTTTAGCCAGAGAGGTTTTTTTTTTTTTTTTTTTTTTTTTTTGGTTGTATGGGTTTTGTTTTGGTTGGTTTGATTGTTTTCATCTCTCAGGGTAGGAAAAATGGCTCATCAAGGAAAACTACTTGTTGCCTAAGCCTGAAGATATACATTCATTCGATCCCCAGAACCTGTGGTAGAAAGAAAGCCTTGACTCCCCAAAAGTGCTGACTCCCAAAAGTTTTTTCTATGTGTGTGCACACAAATGCAAATGGCTACACACACACACACACACACACACACACTTAATCAATCAATCACCTGCTAAAATTAGCATTGGGAATTGACTGTGGATGCTACGTCATGGGTGCTTCACGCACAAAAATTGTTTCAACATGTGGTTTGCTGTCTATTTACAGGCATGACTGGGACCCTCCAGACAGAAAGGTGGACACCAGAAAATTCCGATCGGAGCCAAGGAGCATTTTTGAATATGAACCTGGGAAGTCATCCATTCTGCAGCATGAAAGACCCGTAAGCACTTGTCATTGGTCAAAAAAGCCAGCTCGCTAGGCCTCCAGAGTCCTTAAGGAAACCTGAACTTTACCCCATTGTATTTGTTATTGATGAATCATGATTTGTGTATCTTGTGTGAATTGAAAGAGGCACTATATATTGTTTTGGAATATAGTATAATTAGTGGCTAACTATAATAAGTCAGTGGTGCTTACCATACTTTATGAGAAAGCTGGGTTCAGAGTGACTATCATGCGAGCCCAGGATTCTTAACTGGTCTGAGGAGGTGGGGAGGTCAGGAGACCAGAGGTTCTGCTATGGATAAATCTCCTCAGCCACAGGACAAGATGAGTGGAAGCAGCTGGAAGCTTGGAAAGAAATAAGGATGGAAGACTTCCATTCTTCCCCCTCCTAAGCCATCTTGTTGGAAGCCAGTCTTGACAAATGATAGGAGAGAGGCAAAGCTATAATTTGGGCAAGCCTTGTAAAATTATCATTTTCATAGGGCGAGACCATTACCTTCTTAAAATATCAACCCTGAACTCAACCCACTTTAAATTTTAAAACAAACGGCAAATTAAACAAGGGTATTTGAGAGACCAGCTAAGTGTCCTGAAGGCTCAGACTGTAGGGGAAAGAGAGTGGTCTTGCTAGGCAGGAGTGACAGAACACGAAATGGATTTCAAGGTCGTAAGAACGCGTCTTCTGTCGTTTTACTCAGAGGGACTTTCAGAGCTCCCCTTTTGTAGGAGGACGAGCGGTGCCAAAGTAGCCTCTTTATCCAGCCAATGAAAGCAACCTCCTACACCACCCTTTGCTCTTGTCAGTGCTAATTTTTGAAAATTATATGAGCAGCTAGGCAATTCTGTGCTGTTCTCTTCAGTTCCCAGAGAACCCCGTCAGAGTCCCTCTCTTCTTGGATCCCCCTCACTCACTCTTTATGAACTTACGTTCGTACTCACAGAGGAAATGTCATGGCCACATACCCCTTCTGGTCCACCGCTGTCTGCTGTCTGTATCGCCACCATGCAGCCATCCCCCTGATTAGTGCAGCCAGTCTCCAGATAATTTTTAAGAAGCCTATCAGTCGCAAATTCTCTTCTGACTCTCTCTTGTCCCTGGAGCAAAATCTAACTCTTGATATAACTTTAAAAAACTAAAGAACAACAACAGCAAATAAATCCTACCAAAAATCCTCTGGTTTCACTTCCTGCCAGCCACACAAAGGGCTTTTAGTCCCCTCTCATCAGACCTTAACACGGTTTGGGTTTTTATTTTTCTTCCATAGAAGCACTCCTCTCTCTCTCTCTCTGGAAAGCTACACACACACACACACACACACACACACACACCAAGGCTTACCGGAAGTACACTTTCCTTAGGGGCTTGTTGATCCTCAGCAGTGGGTTTGTAGTTCTCCTTGCTGGATGCCCCCAGGATAACCCACTTTGACATCCTTACCACATGCCTGTTCACACGCTGGGCTCCTTACAATATCCTTTAGGTTCCTTGACAGCAGGTGTCTTGCCTACCCTCCATGCCTCACCCAACGCCTAGCCTGTGGCACCTATGCAGTAAATACCTCCTTGAGTAACTGAGGGAATGTGAACTGAAGTTACCTTTGCAGCTGGTGGGTAAAACTGGTGAAAGACTGAACCTTGCTATGTGGCCCAGTGAGTCTCCATCAAGAAGCAGATGGAATTCTCTGATAACTCTAGCTCAGCTTCTCTGATTCCTTGAGGCATGAAGGAAGCAAAGTGAACATGTCTGCCTAAACAGCAATCTTCAAATCCTGACATAAAAAGAAAAAAAGATTGCACTAATCCTTAGGAATTGAGGATACATTTTAGGGATTGAGGGCATATCTGTCTATTAATATGCTTTAGCAGGAAGGCAAAGCATAAATGCTTTTCTTTGAAGCTCATAAGTTCAATAATCAAATAATCATAATCATGAATAATGAAATATTTATTTGGTTATAAATTTCAATGCAGAATAAATAGGCCTAACAATGTCTGACCCTTATAAAGGCCTTGCAATTTGTAAAGACAAATCTAAAAATTTGTCTTTAACTGACTGGATCCACAAATCCAACTACATTTCCAGTATACAGATGACATACGACAATCATACAATAAATATTAGTGAAATATTAATAAAAGCATTACAGATCATCTGAATTGGATACGCTTGTAGATAAGCCATGTTACTTGTTTTGATGCTTAAAAAAATGCAAAGAACCCACAAAGACATTGTTACCTTTCCCACAATAGCTGTGCTTACGTATAATATTAGCAGAAAGGAACACACATTGGATGAGTGGAAATGCAACGTAAACCACTGGTGAATAATTAGTACCCGAGAATTGAAGCACAAGAATTTGAGAAGTTTTATCTGACCGTTTGACCCATGAAGAATTTATCCCATTGTGCCACAGTATTTGCTATGAAAACAAAATCAAATAGAAAACATAGCAACACATGCCTTGAAGCTTAGGAGCCACAGAGCAAGAACAAACTCTTGGGTTCCCCGGTGTCTGTAGGATAATGTCGAGTGAGGACAGCCTTCTCAATGAGAAGGCTGAGAGCAGGAGGGTGTCTCTGACCTCTAAAGCGCGCAAAGGCTTTTAAGCTGGGAAAACATTAAATTAAATTGCCCATTCTAGGGAGCCTTTTAAGAACAGTCACGTGTAACCTCTGGTTTTAGTGTGTCTAAGCACTTCATGTTAAGCAGAAGGTTGTCAGGTCTGTAAAACTGACAGAAATAAAACAAGATGTCCATCAGCTCTCTTCTGCCAATGTGAGAATCATTGGGGAGGTAACTTGTCATCGAGTGAATTCCCTAAGTGTCCATATTTGCAGGGGACAAAGAGGGAAATGATGGAGTAGTGGCTTTGCTAGTATGCATGTGCTTCAGTTATCCAACTATCCTCATATGTGTCGGTGACTGTGGTTTTTCAGTGTAGCTCCAGATTGCCACAGAACACATCTGATGATAACCAAAGGGACTTGATAAAGGTCAGCCTCAGCAAAGAGACAATTCTAGGCCAGGCATGTCCTTTTTTTGTACGATTAGGGGAATCTATTTGTTGAGGTTTACTTTGCTGAAGTTTTTGTCTTAAGCTCCTTTGAGACAGGTCTTGCTATGTAGCCTAGGCCGATTCCCAACTCACCATCCTCTTGCCCCTGCCTCCTGAGTGCTTGTGATGGCTGGTGTGAGCTGCCACGCCCAGCCTGTAAAACACAGGCACCACTCAGATGTGTACCGGGCACACATTCTAGAACTGCAGAGGATGACTTGTCACTGTTTGCACAGATTCTAGCAAGTTGCTCGCTGTGGCTGTTGATGGAAGCTTTGTTAAATAGCGGGATTTAATAAATACTTATATAAATGTATAGTTATAAATAAATAACAGGCAATTGCTATTTTGAGGCTCATAGCAGAATGATAGGTATGAACTCCCTTTCCCAGATTCTATTATAGAAGTACATCTCTACAAAGGAGAATGTAGTCTATCCATTTGTCCAAGTGGAGGTGGCGCTAAGTTTGCTTTCCTATTTATTTAGTAGATTTGCTGCCCCCTACTGTTCACAGTGTTTTGAAGCCAGACCGCCCTCCCCAGCCCAGCTGCCCCTAGCCAAATAAAACACTGAAGTTGACAACCAACCAGCCAAGGTGTGCAAATCGAGAGCTCATAGGCACTGAGTACACAGCAGTAGAACACTTGGGGGGGATGAGAGGTCTCTTTCCTGCGAAGGAAATGGTACACCTCTCGGAACAGCACAACCTTACTGGTGAATTCTCTCTAATGTTGGCTGTTCAAAGATAAAGGCTCCAGCAAAGCAATGTCAAGAAGTAATTACATGATTCAGTTGACATCTTCTAAATAATTGAAGAAAAGTAACGCTTTGTCACTAATAAAACCTTAGCAATCGTAACTACCGGATCAAAATTTTTAATTCAATGGAAAACAGTTACTGCAAATTCTTTTTTTTTCTCTAATTCAATGGGAATAGGTTACTGGAAGATGTTCTTTCTACAGAGAGCTCAGTTAACTTTGAAGTGGAAACCAAAAGTAATATCGACACAAATTGGAGTAAATATCTCAAGAATTTCTGCAGCATTTTCTCATTCGAATAGAATAGCCTCCTCAATTGTTATTTATGGAAACATAACCTCATAACTAAAAGTAAAATCGTATTAAAAAGGCAGTTTCTGTGCCCGACTGACAGTGGAATATTTTGTGGACGTAATCCTTCGCGTGCCCATCCAGATTCCCACTTAGGGAAGCCATCAACCACTGCACACGAGTGCTATAATGGAGCATTAATCGCTCAGCATCAGTCCCAAGCATATCCCAGCCTTGCTCTCCAGTCTTTATATTCGCTACCCTACCGCTATATACAATGCAAAAGCTTGGCCTCCGCACTGTTTTGTTATGATGCCTCAAACTCTCCTATCATAAAAATATCAGAAGAAAACTATACCACTGAAACTGTTGTGGGAATAATGTCTCACTCACTATATATAGACTATATATGTATTTATAGACTAAATGGCATTAATAAAACCAGTATAGATGTAATGACGATGCAATACTACGACGAGCCCAGGACAAAAGAGTGGCCTCTTTCAGAACGTGGAATATTAATGCCTCCAGCATTACAGCATTATAGAGCTACTCAGTGGGAGTCTTTGAGATCCGTAAGAATTCTAAGAGAATGATAGGGGGTTGGAGTAGTGGATGTTTAGCAGCCCTCCTGGGTGGTTGTGTGGGCATCAGAGCTCTTTTCTCTGGGCTGGAGTGGATGGCTTTTAGGGAACCAAAGAAACGTTTTAGACTTAATATATTATACTACGCAACTATACACATTTAATTAGGGATGTGAGATCTACCCAAGAAGTAGGTATGCACATATATGGTACATGATACCAGCTAGTCGGGTATGGATTATTAAAAGCATTAAGGGTATTACTGGGTTAAGGAGAGGCTGGATGTCTGTGTTCTATTGCTAAAATAATTGTATCTGTTTTTTCTCAACTGTTTGTGTTAACACCCCTAGCTTTTCTGTCTTCAACACAGCATTCATAAACCACCTGAGACGCCAGTCAGTTATACCCTGTACCCTACCTCCCCTTCCCTCCCTACTGTGAAAAGCCCGATTCTACCCAAACCCTCCTTTAGCTTCAAGTCAGCATGAGGAAACTCAATCACAAAATGGGATCTTTCTTCACTTTGGGGGAAGACTTGGGAAGTTGAGATCTTCGCTGTGGTGGGCCCTTCTTAAGGAATCTGCCCAGCCGTAGCCCCCTCCTGAATGTCCGTCTCCAGGACTAATGCCAGCTGAGCTGGTGTCCTCCAGGTTCCATCAAGAGCCCCTGTCTAACGAACCAGTGTTTCCTCACCCCTCTCTCTTACAGCCCCCTGTCCCACCAACTCCGACACCTGTTCCCAGGGAACCCAGCCGGAAGCCTCTCTCTGTGTCACCCTCAACAGATGGCCTGCGTAGCCCTTCCCCTCCACCCCGGAGCTGTGTCCCCGCACCCCGTCAGAGTCCGAGCGCCCCAGCTTTCTCTCCCACTCGGGTGAGCTCCTTCCTTCTTCACCTTCTCTCATGCTGTGGGGAAGCAGAGCTCTGCCTTTCTTCCGAGACTAAAGCATGGTCAAATCCTGTCTCTGCTGGGGTTCTTCCCGCTCCTAGACCCCTCCCTCCCTTCCTCCCAGGAACCCTCATCTCCACCATTCTATGCTCCTAGCTCGCCCCATCTGCAATGTCTGCATACCGCGGACCACCCACCGCTGCCACTGCTAGCTGCCAGTGGCTTCAGGGACAGCAGAGTGACCAATCAGGAGAGCCCCCTTGCTACCTCCTTTAGTCCTATCTTCACAGTCTAGCATGCCACCCTTCCCCGTTGTCACCGCCAGGATACTTTCCCTAGTTCATGTATTAGGCCAAAGAAATAGCGCTGGCAGCGATAGGGACCCCAGCAATGCCACGGACCCTCATTTTCATGTCCTCATTTTGCTCATGGTACCTTACTTTCTCTATTCCGTCCTGGATGAGTCGGATGCATGCTTGCGTGTGGATGCGCGTGCGTTCTCGTGCCCCACGCCGTTTTTCCCTCACCTCGCTCAGTGTGCCTTTTCCTTCCCTTTTCCTTCACATCTGCTCTAGACTGGTCGCATAAATCCAGATGACATAGACTTAGAAAATGAGCCCTGGTATAAATTCTTTTCAGAACTGGAGTTTGGACGCCCGGTAAGTGAGGCTAGACAATTGCTATAAGACAAATTAGGAGGATGTTGTTTGATCTCTAAAGCTTATTCTTGTCACGTGGGAGACGTGTCGTGTCGAGAACGAAAGCTGGGTGAATAAAATGCGTGTGCTCCAGCTTTGTGCAAATTCGCTTTTCTACCAAATGCCTAAATGTGTCCATTCGCTTCCCATATGTTTTCTCCTAATCGTGCATTAGAATCACATCTAATTAATTGCAAATCTATCATGTTGAGGTAGTTGAGGGGAGCGCTGCATTGTGCCCTGCACATTTTGGTCTAGATTAACAGTCAGATGGACCTTGCCATCTGCAAGAATGACTGTTACTACAGTTCTTGTTTGCAAGCTACCACAGAGCACATGGCTCCCGAGTCAATAACTTGAATCTTCCTGATACAACTCCAACAATAAGAAAATGGACCAGAAAGGTCAAAGACTTTGCCCCAAATAGTCAGAAATTAAATGTCATACAACAATAAAAAAAAAATCTCTGGGCAGTTCCCGCTATAATGTTATCACCAGAATTTTCCCGTTGTAAATATATTCCCACTATAAAATGATTCTTTGAATAGAAGAGATATGACAAAGGGAAAGAATTCAAAGCCCTGTGGACCTTGATTCACGGTTTTGCTCATGAGCCACCAACACACCTCTGATCAGCAGAGTCACATGCTGGAAGGCCACCGTTTGGCCCTCATGCGCTCTGAGTGAGCCATTTGGGGCAGGTTGGACTCGGGTTTCACATAGCTCCCTTTAACCACCCAGTCCCCATTGAAACATTGTTTGTGGGTTTCATGTTCTCCACAACATGCCTTTTTACAAGCCCTGGATTGTTGAATAACATGTAACTTGCAGTGCCCAGCAATTTTATAAGAACTCAGAATGTGTTCTTTCCCCCTGTCACATAAGGATTTATAAATATGCCAATCACACATTCCTTACTGGATGGCTGTGAGAGCCCTCTTTATACTTTAAAATGCAATCTTGGTTGGCCTCATTGTATGTCTTATTGAACTAAATCGAATGTGACTGTAAATGACTATTAAACAAAATTTCCTGGCATTTCTATTACCTAATAAGAGGATTGTTTCCTCCCGTTTTTTTCCTGGTGACTCCTCTTATTAAAATTTATTTTGTTTCATTGGGGAAACGCTCTCTTGTTTTTGCTTTATGCCTCTGTTATTTTGGGGTAGAGTTTCCAGAAACTATACCGATTCCTGGGTTGAGCCTGAATTACCAGCACTTTCTGCAAACCTCAGCCACACAAGGACATCCACCTGCATGCTCTCCACTTAACGCCTCTGGTGTTTCCTTAATATCCCTTGCAATCTGCTGGAGCCAAAGACCTGGAGTGCTAATTTGGATCTGACGGATTCAGTCTCCAAATTTACTAACCGAGCACGCGTAGCTTTTTCGCAGTGCCTGGGAATATTGGCAGACACGCACTCCTCCTCCTCGGCTGGCATCTTGCTCCATCCATGTTACCCTGTGTGTGTATCTGATGCTGTCAGCACTCGGTTCTCTAACTGTTGTCACCTTCTCCACATGTTCGTTACTCGCTGCCATTGACTCTCCTCCATCCCATCTCTCCACCTCTGCTTCTGTGGCGTGCCTACACCCAGCCTCCTAAAAAGGCTCTGGATTATGTTCAAGATCATTCTTCCGGTGTTCCCAATGAGGTAAAGACAAATTCTTCTCTCCTTCCAGATCCCCCCACTCTCCTTCGTTACCGTCAGTCTGAACACACGTGTTTTTAATAGTCCCCCGTATTGTTCGAGCTGGTTTTGAAAACTCTTGGTATAGCTGCGTTGGGCGCAGTAGCATTACCTAGACAGTGCAAACGGGGTCGACTATTTCTGAATTCCAGGTGATGAGTGTTCCCAGCTGTGATTTCTAGTTAAAATAGTCAGCAGCAGCAGCAAAATAAAAAAAAAAAAAAAAAAAAAAAAACTCCTTAACTTGAGCAGGTATTGACTGCCCATTTTCACACACTGAGAAGAGTACTACTGAAAGGCTTCTAGAAAGAAATTTTCCATTGTGTTTAGAAGTGCAGGCTCAAGACTCGAGGTTCTTGGGCAATGGAGATGGCTCCTTAGGTAAAAGGATTTGCAGGGAAGGCCCAGGGCCAGCCTTCCACCCTGAAACCCACCCACTGTATATGAAGAGAGCGTGCCCTCTTGTGCTATGTCAAGTGTGCCGCGTCCACACAGAAAGAACGGTTTTCTAAACAAAGTTTTGTTTCTTACATAATCAGCCCCTTATTCACTATAGTTTTCGAAATGTTGCTAATCTTTCATTTGCTAAATGCTTGTAACCTGTGAATGTTGCCGTCAGTTAAGAATAAAGATGACAAAGCTGGGTGGTGGTGGCACACGCCTTTGATCCCAGCACTTGGAAGGTAGAGGCAGGAGGATCTCTGTGAGTTCTAGGACAGCCTGGTCTACAGAAGGAGTTCCAGGACAGGCTCCAAAACTACACAGAGAAACCCTGTCTCAAAAAAACAAAAACAAAAACAAGCAATCAAACAAACAAATAAAAAGATGATGAGCACCTGGCCTGTGTGGTCCAGTTTCCCAGTTCCGCAGCTTTGGTGGCATCACTAACTCTTGATGTTGTAGTTCAGGCAGCCACTACAGCAGACAGACACTGCGCCGCTGTGTGCAATAAGACTTAGTTGTAATCTCTGCTGGAGAACGCTTAAGGGTAGGGCTGGAGAGATGACCCTGTGGCTTAAAGAGCACTTGCTGCTCTTGCAGAGGACCTGGGTTTGCTCCCAGCACCCACATGGCAGCTCAAAACCATCAGCAACTCCATTTGCAACACCCTCTTCTGGCCTCCACCAGCACCAGGCATACACATGGTTCACAGGCATGCTGGAAGCGAAACACTCATAAACTAAAAATATGTGGCTCTACTTAAAAAAATAGTAATAATTGCTTATGAAAATCGGCCAATCAGCAGGTGAAGAACTTATATCAAGCCACATAAATTTTAAACTGGTTAAGGAAAAGATGGCATGAAAAGGAATAGAAAGGGTCCTAAGGCAAACTTTGCACTCCAAAAGAAACCAGAAGGTTATTTTGCACAACACTTAGAAGACACAAGCAGATACGTCATTATTGTGTTAGCTATCAGGCAGATAAAAGCATCTGGTTGGCACTCTCTGAAGTAGCCAGGCAGGATAGAGAAGCACACAGAATCTGATTTTGTCAGAGAAGATACTTTTGTTGTTTTTTTTTTGAGACAGGGCAGGGATGCTCTTTATAGCTCTGATTGTCTTGGAACTCCCAATGTAAACCAGGCTGACTTTGAACTCAGAGATCCACCTGCCTCTGCCTCCTAAGTGCTGGGATCAAAGGCGTGCGCCACCACCACCTGGCTCCATTTGTTTGTTGTTGTGTTGTTGTTTGTTATTTGGTGGGATTCTGATGTGTTTAGATACATGAATCAACATTTTTTGAAATTTTTTATTATTATTATTTCTGGAATTTTTTTTTTCAAAGAAGTTGACTCATTGATTTTGGACTAGAACTTAGAAAACATCACATTCAACTCGTTGGCTTTCTAGTTAGGAAAAGCAGAATGGATTAACCGCAAAGGATAGATCTGACATAGCCTGCTAAGATGGCTGCCAAGAGAATAAATTACTAGTTGCTTAGCCTTCGTTTCAAAACTATTTCCTTTGTGCCCTGCTTTTTTGCCCTCCCCAATAGAGCTTGGCTCTACTAAAAACTATTTTTTTGATTATTGAATTTGTGTAAAATGGGTTTCTAGGAATTAACACTGCACAGTAGTGACTGAGCACAGAGATGAGAACATTTTAATTTAATGCACTTTTTATGTGATGGTGGTGGCCAAAATACTACACAGAGAAGCAGTCTGATAGCAGCAGAACTATGTGTGCTTACCTTTTGGGGACTGAGAGACATGAGTGACTTTAATAGCACGGTTAACTAGGGTGTTAATTTAAAACATGGCCTGTCAGAGTGTAAGAAAATATACTTCCATTAAGATATTTTGATTCTGTTTTTAATAACTTTTTAAAAAATATTTATTTATTTATTATGTATACAATAGTCTGTCTACATGTAAGCCTTCAGGCCAGAAGAGGGCACCAGACCTCATTACAGATGGTTGTGAGCCACCATGTGGTTGCTGGGAATTGAACTCAGGACCTTTGGAAGAGCAGGCAGTGCTCTTAACCGCTGAGCCATCTCTCCAGCCCATTTTTAATAACTTTTATATGACATTTCTAGTAAAAAAAAAAAAAACCTGCAGTTATTTGATAATACCTAAGCTATCACTGATCAAGTACCTGGTTTTATCAAGCGTATGTTACAAATGACATATTTTTTTAAATCACATGTAACTACATTTATTTGCAAATGTCAGAATGAAGCCTTTACTTTGCAAATTTGAAGCAGTTTTTTAAGAAGACTAGTCAAGAACTTGTTTGCAAAGTTTAGTCAATAATTTCTTATCAGAAAGAATGATTTAATGTCTGCCTGCCCTTGAAATGACCTTCTAATGTGTTAAAATATTGATCAGATGCAAATGCCGAGCATTTGTTTGGTAAAATGGACTAGTTCTTTTCTTGGGGCTCATTTTTCCATATTATACAAGGCTTTGCATTAATAATCTCAATTTTTATTATTACCTTGTAATTGACAACTGAAGTTTCTCTTATGATACATAAAATCAAAGCATGTTTTTTTTTTTTTTAGGCTAGCAAGATGACCTGAGTTTTATCCCAGAATCCATATGGTGTAAGGAGAGAATTAGTTTCCTCATGTTCTGACCTACACACACACACACACACACACACACACACACACACCACATACACGCTAAATGCTCTTAAATCTTTACACTTGTTTTAAAGTGTGTGGATTATGGAGAACAGAGCGAGAAAGAGTGGTTGAGCTCTGTCTTAACTCAGAAATGCATTATCAGTCCTCACACGGTGTTTTATTTCATATTACAGTGTTAGCCAGGCTGACCGTAACTGGGGGTTCATATTTCTGATCTTATCAGGAATATTCTAAGAGCATCCTGAATTTGACCCTGTGGGGTCAGCTATGTGTCAGGCTGTCCCAGGAGGCCCGTGGCCCACAGATGGTGGCACTCTGGGGCACTCAGCACTTCTGCAAGCCTGTGGAGTAATGCAATAGCATTTCACTGTTCTCTTCCTTACTGTGTTTTCCTTACTTTCTAGTAGCCAATTTAGACAATTCAAATAATTATTTAAACTTACCGACATAGCAGAGCGATTTTCTACTCTCATGTTTGTGGAGAACATAGGAATCTAAGAATTTTTCTAAGTAGTAAAAATATTAAATACGTTTTTCCTGTCCAAAATGAGGAAGGAATGTTTTTATGCCAAAAGATCCTTTGTTTTAGTATGGTTAAAATTCCATTCTTAATCAGTAATATGAAATTAAAGCAAAATATTATGCATGAGGCTTGTCAGGCTGATCTACACAAGAACCTTAAAGTTATAATCTAGTGTTTTAATTGGGAAACTGATAGTATTACCAGTTAATCAAAAAGAATATTGGAAATCAGTTATAAAGTGAGTTAGTCATTTAATCGAAGTAGGTTTGTAATATCCTGATAAAAAAAAATTTCTCTATAGGAATTTAAGATAAAATTATTCAACTCTTGCCTTTATGGTTGACAGTTTTAGGCCTTCAGATAAACATTTTCAAAACATAATTTCCATTTTCAACAAACCACAGTTCATCTGTGCTGATGAATTGAGCACTAAGCATGACCAAAGTCAAAAGCGTATTCAGCGGAAAGAGGTTTGCTAAGAGTGCAGAGACCACCACACGGCTACTTCTACCTTGCAGTGTCCCCTCAGAAACTCAACGCCAACCCTCTCTCGTAACCTAGATATTTCAGCAAGCGTCTCAGACACAGCCATGTACAATAAAACCTTCCTACCTCCTGCTTTTGTGCAGTATCGGTTTTGCTGTGCTGTTCAGAATGAGATGTGTAAAGCGTACCATCTAAAGGAGTGTATCTTGGTTCATCCGGTCATTTATCTGAAACTAATTCCGAACTCAAATTGTTCAAGATGTAAAAATCGGATTCTGGCTCAAGTCCCAGGTGATTTAGGTTCATCTCCAATCAAATTCTGTGCATTGCATTTTAGGAAAATAATAGGTATGTTGATATAAGAAAGACCTTCAATGCTTTATTTTCAAGATACCAACTGGCAATAACAATGAAATTACAAAGAACTTTATGTTTATAAGGATTTAGTGAAGACTGCAAATATTTTCCTACAAATAAAGTCAGTCCTTCATAGAGGAAGCTCCTGTTTATCTCAGCAGTTGTTACAAGCCTGAAGTTAATGCCAAAGATACATTTAACCCTTTATTCAGTTCAGTTCCTGACGATAACGTTACTGGGTTTTTTGTTTGTTTTTCTTCTTTTTCCTGATGAAATGCATGTCTTGGTTGTGCAAACACCACAGAATGCAGTGTAGTTTGTAAAAATGGAACCCAAGGACATGTTAATCTTTTTGGAAAGACGTTTTTGTAATCACAATAATGATTCTTTCAATCACAGTATTTAGACTCTAAATCTTAAAGTATTCTTTTTAGGATGCAATACTCAATGGTGACAAATAAATGGAATTTGCTAATGTAATATTTTCATCAGACTGTTCTTCCGTCTTTACAGGCCTCCATCTATCAGCCCTCCATTGACAGAAGCCTAGAAAGACCCAGCAGGTAAGGATCTCACGACATCACAGGAACAAAATATTCCATGCCAGCGCTTGTTTTCCCTGTAGTAATCTTCCTTGGTGAAATACTGATGAGGATAATGAAATTCTCTTTCTCTTTCTTATTTTAAGTACCAGATCTCATGTTTGATTTCTGGGTTTGCATATAACTTTATAAGATCTCATCCAAGAAAAAAAAAATATCTCATCCAAAAATTTGCTAAAACTCGACAATATAATTCTGGCTTCCTTCACAGGGGTCAGTTCTTCCCGCTGTGACCTTTGCTTCCTGTGTCCTCTTTAGAGTGCCAGTGAGGGTTAAAAATAACTAATTCTCAATCTTGCTTTAGAAACATTTTGTAAAGAAATGACTGATACTTGTGAATTATACTTTGATCACACAAATAAATGTTTTCACTACATCTCAAGGCATCCCAAGTCCATAAACATATTCAATCCATTATGACACCATGAGTTGAAGACACCAGCTTCTCAGCTCAGCAACTGACAGAGTTCAGAAAGGAAGGGGGAGAACAGACTAAAACAGGCTAACTTGTCGCCTCTAGTCATTAACTCTCCTCCGAGCCAACCAATCTAAGCTCCATTCATAGGTTTTAAATATCAGACCTAATTGAAACTATCACCAAAATTCAGACGGATTCAATAGCAATTCATATTGCAGATTCACAGTCATAGTGTACCATCAACAGTCAGCTCTGTAACATGAATTTGTCTTTCTATAGGTTCGTGTCAACCTAAATAAAGCCTTTTGTGAGTTAGGTCCAGTATAAATTGGGATGGTGAGCGCTTCCCAGCTACACTGACATCACAAAGGCATCCTCACCCCCTCTATTGTCGTATTTTTACATCTATGTGTGCCTCTAAAGTATTTGAAATGCTTAGATTTTAGAACTTTAGTCTGACCTAAAGATGGCCATGAAGACACACTGAGCCGCACACAGGAAGATAGAAATAGAACACCAAGTCCAGATGATGAGACAGCCTCGTTACGGGAAGAGAGATCAGTTCTGAAGGCTGGGTGCCTCCATTTCCACACTTCTAGGCATGGGTGTCCACTCTGCTCATTTGTAGACACGTGATAATGTTGAAATTGGAGCGGCAGGGCTGCGTCCCCGGCACCCGGCCGCCCGCATGGCTAGCTTATGCCCGAAATAATTACACAGAAACTGTATTCTTTCAAACACTGCCTGGCCCGGCTAGTTCCAGTTTCTTATTGGCTAGCTCTTACATATTGTTCTAACCCATTTCTAATATTCTGTGTAGCCCATGAGCTGGCTTACCAGAGAGGATCTTAACCTGTGTCTGTCGGGAGTGGGAGCATCATGGCGACTCTTCCTAAGCTTCTTTTTCCCAGCATTCTCTTCTGTCTACTCCGCCTACCTAATTTTCTGTCCTATGAGGGCCGAGGCAGTTTCTTTATTATTACAAGACCCACCTCCATCATGATAACTCATACTACTACACAGAATCAGATGAAATGCAGGCAGCAGATGGCATAGGAGCTATACCCAGTGTCATCACAGTTGCTTACGTGATGACAGAGACTTGGAGGACAGTATATAGCATGTATCCAATTATTTATGAATGTGTTCTGAAATGATACCCTACTGAAAATGCTGATTTAAAAAAAAACCTCCCTTTATAAACCATCAACATCATTTTTTACAATTGTGTAAAAATGTACAATTTTAACAGTTTACTTGCTGGCTAGATTTTTAATCTCTGGTGATTTAAATAGAAAATATTGAAAATTTTGGCCTAAGGTTCTTCTAAACACATTGGGTAAGCAAAAAAAAAAAAAAAAGAGTCCTTACGGTAAAAGAGACTTAATATCTTAATATTTACACCGCCAGGCAGTGGTGGGACACACCTATAATCCCAGTACTCAGGAGGCAGAGACCCGCAAATCTGTGAGTTCAAGGCCAGCCTTGTCTATAGAGGGAGTTCCAGGGTGGGACAGAGGCTACACAGAGAAACTCTATCTCAAAAAATTACCATAACCTACTTTTGGCCTCCTATATATATACTCTGAAATATGTATAAAGCCTCATGCAACACAAATGCTATTAAAATGGGTCGTTGGGACTAGAGAAAGAGCTCAGTGGATAAGAGCAATCGCTACTCTTGAAGAGATCCCACGATGGTCAGTTCCCAGCCCCCACCCGACACACTTCACAACCATCTGTAACTGTAGTTCCGGGGGAATCCTACATCCTCTTCTGTCCTCCATGGGTACCAGGCGCTCAGAATGGAACATAGGCATATATTCAGGCAAAACACTCATACACATAAAGTCAAAATGAGTAAAGGTAATAAGCGGTTATTATAGTGTATCGCATGGGGGGGGGATACAAACACAAGTTTGTACATGTTCAGTAGCAATCCAATTCTTAATATTTCCAGTGTACATTGGTTGGACCTATGACTATAAAGAACCTATACAGTCCAGTCAAATATCTGTAACTTGGAACTTCCCTTTTAAAATGAGATTGATTTTTTTTTTCAAAGACAAATCTACAGAAAGTATTTTTGAATGTGGAGGCATGAATTTCCCACTATGCAGCTCTGTGGGTGGAAGGTTAGGTGTCGTGCCTTTATCTAACGTGATCCTCAGTTTCCTTGTGCATGTGTTAACCTCTTCGAGTCCCCATCAAATGACACTGATTCCCTCTGTCAGTTCTGCGAGCATGGCTGGGGACTTTCGGAAGCGGAGGAAGAGTGAACCTGCAGTGGGCCCACCCAGAGGCCTCGGGGATCAGAGTGTGAGCAGGACCAGCCCCAGCAGGGCGGACCTCCCAGGATCAAGCTCCACATTTACGAAGTCTTTCATTAGCTCTTCTCCTTCCTCTCCCTCAAGAGCCCAAGGTGAGCCACAATAAATAAGCAAAGCTTGCTAGTTCACAGTTTAGCCCACAGTATGGGGGAGGGCCAGCCTCATGATCATGACTTCTGATGCTGGCTTCACTTACAGTGTCCCTGCAGCAAACACAGTTTCCCATCAAAGCCACTGCTCCTACCCAATCCAATTCAAGCTGGCAAGCCACTTGAGTGTCTTAAAGAAGTCAGACTCGTTGCTGTTTTCTCAAAAATTTTAATAATAAATTTACCCAAAATATTAAATAATTTGTTTTCATATTTACAGAAAACCACTTATATACTTTTACATAGGCAAATTTTCTAATGTTATTATAGATAACTAATTAAATTTGTAGAATAAGAATTATAAATAGCAACAGAAAAATATGGCATAAAACATGCAATGAGTACTTTAAATTCTGGATTAGGAAACAACTTAAGTCATACCTTTAGTCTAATTTATCCTGTTTTATTCGACCTTTATTTGATTGGTAAAGTATCACATTCTACCATGTAACATGGTGGTCAAAAATGGTTTATAATAAGTACACACTGGCTTGAAGCCACAAATACCAAATTTAGCAGTGAGATGACTCAGTGGGTAAAGGCACTGGCCACCAAGCCTGTCAACCCAAGTGTGATCATCACGACTCATATAGTAAAAGGAGAGAACAGACCCCCACAAGTTGCCTTCTGACCTCTCCTTGTATGTGTACATACACAAGAGAGAAAGGAAATGCAAGGAAGAAAGGGGGAGAAGAAGGGAAGGAAGGAAGGAAGGAAGGAAGGAAGGAAGGAAGGAAGGAAGGAAGGAAGGAAGGAAGGAAGGAAGGAAGGAAGAAAAGAGGGAAGGCCACTTTTTCAGATGGCCTTCTCCTCTTTGGAAATGTAGTAAGCTAAGCAATGAAAGAACAGAGTTGCTCATTTGGGTCTCTGGTAGGTTACCTGGGTCTTTTTTTTTTCTTTTGAACCATAATCTATTGACCCAGTAGCATGACAAATTTGGGGTCCCGCAATCTCCTCCAGACTTTGGGAGTTAACATAGAAGAGAATGGGTTTTCAAAGAATCTAAAGAAAATTAGTTATAAAGAAGTGTCCAGGAAGTGGAACAGAGAGTCAGGTATTCCTAACAACTGTATGCATTGAAATAGTTACCATACGGTGGTTAAAGTGAAGCCGTAGTTGGTGTGCAGTAGACTGTTTGTGATGACTGGTCTCCGCTTAGCTAAGATGACAGCTGGGCCATCTAAGGCCTAGCAAAGTCTGAGAAAGGAATTTCCTCAGTAACTAACATGCCTCCATCATACTCATCTATACAGCAAATCTATATTCTAAGTAGCAAGTCAGTCATGAAATTCCAAGGATCCGTCATTCTCAGACACAATCCAAAACGTAAAAGGATCCTGATAAATTTAAGTATTTTCTTACCCATAGAGCGTTAAATCCAGTTCCTTTCCCAAGCGCTGTATATCAACTGAATGAATTATCAATTTTTGGAGGGTTTGGGGGAGGTTGCAATCCATAAATTGTTAAGCTTAAAGGATAAGAGTTGTGGTTTGGGCATGCCAAAAGGCCATTGAACTGAGCAGTAGAAATGTGTTAGCTACACCAAGTGTATTTCACAAGTGATTTTGTCTACTGTAGTATCTGCAAAGTTGCACTGAAAAATATTTTCTTTTTTTTTTTTTTTTTTTTTTTTTAGCATGGGGCATTCCTCTTTAATTGAAACTATGTATGTCAAGGTGCCTAGATTAAGCCATACTAACTGCTTTCTCTTTGCTGTGCTAATACTGACAAGCTCTCCTTTCTTTGTGAACCTTTTAACTTCTCCAAATGTCTCTCTCCTGCCATGCTGCTCTGGATTGAAAGGTGGGGACGATAGCAAAATGTGTTCATCCCTTTGCAGTCACTCGGGGCTCAATGGCGCCCCCTCTGGTGAGTTAGAGTACTGTAGCGCTTATAGACAGCATTTGGATGTCCCCCGGGACTCTCAAAGGGCCATCACCTTCAAGAATGGCTGGCAAATGGCCCGGCAAAATGCCGAGATCTGGAGCAGCACGGAAGAGACCGTGTCCCCCAAAATCAAATCGCGTAGCTGTGATGATCTCCTGAATGACGATTGCGACAGCTTCCCAGACCCTAAAGCCAAGTCAGAAAGTATGGGTTCTCTGTTATGCGAGGAAGACTCCAAAGAGAGCTGCCCCATGGCGTGGACTTCCCCCTATATCCAGGAAGTGTGTGTTAACGGCAGATCCAGAATCAAACACAGGTCAGCCCATAATGCCCCGGGCTTCCTCAAAATGTACAAGAAGATGCATCGCATCAACCGCAAGGATTTGATGAATTCGGAGGTAATTTGCTCCGTGAAGTCCAGGATACTGCAGTATGAAAACGAACGGCAGCATAGGGGTCTGCTCCACGGTTGGAGCCAGTCTTCCACCGAGGAGGTGCCCAGGGACATGGTACCCACCCGCATTTCGGAATTTGAAAAGCTGATACAGAAGTCCAAATCCATGCCCAATCTAGGGGATGAGATGTTGTCTCCCATCACCCTAGAACCCCAACAAAACGGCCTGTGTCCCAAGAGACGATTTTCTATTGAGTCTCTGCTGGAAGAAGAAACTCAGGGTAGACAGCCTTCTCAGGGTCAGCGAAACTGCAAGTCTAAAACCCTGGTGCCCATCCACATCGAAGTCACCAGCGACGAGCAACCCAGAGCTCACATAGAGTTTTCCGACAGTGACCAAGATGGAGTTGTGTCTGACCACAGCGACTACATTCACGTAGAAGGGTCATCCTTTTGCAGCGAAAGCGATTTCGACCATTACTCCTTCACATCCTCCGAAAGCTTCTACGGTTCCAGCCATCACCACCACCACCATCACCACCACCATCACCGGCACCTCATCAGCTCTTGCAAAGGCCGATGTCCAGCCTCTTACACTCGGTTTACCACAATGCTAAAACATGAACGAGCTAAGCATGAGAACACGGACCCACCCAGGAGGCAAGAAATGGACCCCGGCCTGTCTAAACTCGCATTTCTAGTCAGCCCCGTGCCTTTCCGAAGGAAAAAGAATTTGACTCCCCAAAAACAGACTGAACAGGCAAAATGCAAAGCCTCCGTAGTCGAGGCTCTGGACTCTGCCCTTAAGGACATCTGCGACCAAATCAAGGCTGAGAAAAGGAGGGGGAGCCTGCCGGACAACAGCATACTGCATAGGCTTATCAGCGAGCTGTTACCAGAGATCCCGGAGAGGAATTCATCCCTTAACGCTCTAAAACGGAGCCCTGGGCACCAGCCTTTCCACCCACTGCCTCAAGATGGTGCTATTCATTGTCCACTGTACCAAAACGACTGTGGGAGGATGCCTCACAGTGCCTCTTTCCCAGACGTGGACGCAACCAACAGCAGCTACCATGCCCAGGATTACAGTAGTGAGCTGAGTTTCCGAGGTGGATGAACTTTCCTTTCTTTTCCCTTGTGGTTCAGCGACCATCCTTCCACTCGTTCATACTTTTTTTTTCCCATCCTGCATCTGTGAGACCGCGTGACGTCATTACGTGTTCCGGAGCGAACCTGTGTTGTGCAGATGTGTCTGCCTCGGTGGTTCTCATTTGCCTGTGTGGTGTTTGACGTTCATGGGTGGACTGAATGTAATCATCAGTTCATAAGCATTTGCTCACTTCAAAGTAAACGAAACCCCAATTTGTCCCTCAATATTAGGGTTAAAACAGGCAGGACATTGGGAGGACAAGTGGAATACTGCATTGCGGCTCCACATCATTAGAGTTTATTTGCACTGTGTTTATTTGCGCTGATGCTGTGCAGTGTGCTCCACCAACAGGGGATGAGGATGTTCAGATAGAGACCTGTCAGGATCCAATTGATAAAATAGGCAGTTTCTTCAGTTATCTAATAACCTGAAATAATCACTTAAATTCAAAAGAATATATCAGGACAAAACTATAGCTCAATATCTGTGTCCCCAAGATACCTTTTGGTTCATGATGAACCAAAATCAATAGCTTCAAAGCATTTTTCTTGATTTCTATATTAACGTTAGAACAATTGTAGCTATTGACTCAAAGAAATCTGTCCCCACTCAACCTTTGTAGATTAGATAGATAGATAGATAGATAGATAGATAGATAGATAGATGGATAGATAGATAGATGGATGGATGGATAGATAGATGATGGATAGATAGATGATGGATAGATGATAGATAGATGATAGATAGATAGATAGATAGATAGATAGATAGATAGATAGATAGATAGATAGTTACAGCCCACATTCAAGTCACATAGCTATGCAAGGCTTAAAAAACTGACAGGGATATTTGCTGTCATCATTTCCCAGTGTAATTATTTATGCTTTGCTTTAATGTGAATAAGACCTCAATATTTCATAAGCAATTTGACAGCTTCATAGGAGGCTTTCTGGTTATCGTTTCGTTTTCTGGAATAAATAACTTACTTTCTGATTAGCTGAACACTCGTATACAAGGGAAAGCCATAATGGATAGGAAATCTTCCAACCCAATAGGTATCTCCAAACAGAAACACACACACATTAACACACACACACAGAGGGGTGGGAAATGTGACCATCATCCTGTTATGCTCACACTTGATCTTCCATTTCATCATTTCTTCTTAAACTGTATTTGATAGAACATTTGTTCATATGAATGTGTTATTTTTAAATTCTATCTTATGATAATAGTTATATACTGGAACCAAAAACAAGAGAAATAGTAAGCATGATAAATTTGGAGTACAAAAGTCCCTACAGCTATGAACCATCTACACCAAGGATGCAGTGTATTTAATTGGCAGTATAATAATATTTTTATATATGATTGTAATACTTCTGGTCTTTGTATATTTCTTCATTTTCAATGTATATGTGTGTCTTATATCATTACTTTACAGTGAGTTATGAGTTTTACATCCATAGTCTCACTCAAGACATCTCTCCAAATTTGGGGGGTAAAATCATCGCCACCAAGAAAAAGTGGCTACCTTATCTCCTTTCAACGAAATAAGATCTCATTCTGGTTCACCTTATCATTTCCAACAGACCATGAGTCCCCTAGAAGTTACTCGTCTACTTTGACTGACCTGGGAAGAAGTGTATCACGGGAACGAAGAGGAACTCCAGAAAAAGAGGTAGTTTAACAGAATGGGGGTGTTTTTAAAGGACCTTCTGAGAAAGCACTTACCAGCCAAATGTGTGTCTCAGACCAGTAAAGAATTCAGACTGAAACCTAACAGCAACAAGAAGAGTCTAGAAGCAGCTCTGCTCAGATCCTCAGTCTAGGCTCCAGTTGTTCCCAACTTGGGATGTACTTTGGACAAGGAGGCCTTTCTGAATCTTGGCCTAATAGCCATAAACTAATAAAATTCTAATTAGCCTGCTTTATGGAGGGAAGGGAGTTTCTGCACAAGTACTTTTGTTGGCAAAGGCCACCAAGTACCTGTAGCATTGAGAAGTTCTGACTCCTGGTCCATCACCTTAAACCAGAGCTGGGCCACCTTTTCCTAACTGCCTTGGAAGCCATGAGGGTAATGGAAATTAAAAACTAAGCTCTGACAGGTGTCTGAGATAGCCTGTGGGACCTCTAGACCCCTAAACCCCTATGAAGCCATGAATTACCCAAGTTTCTTGAAGCTCACTAAAATCCACAGGGGAAGAAAAATGGGGTGAAGGAATTGCTTGTTAGTGGAAAGGGAAGAGCCGATATCACTAGCTACATGGTACGTTGTGCCTCGAGTAGATCTGTGGGCCCCAGAGTTTGAGGGTAGGCATGGGTATACCTTCATAACTGAAAGATAAGCCAAAGGATTCCTGCACCCTCCATTCCTCTATTTTTGGCTAACTAATCTCTTGACAAGTGGGCTACTACTTCTTGGCTCATCAGTATTTTAGTTTAGAATATGATAACTCTTTTCGTGGCTTCTGTTTTACTGTGATTCAGACAGACTAGTGTCAACCAATGGGAGTCAGAGCAGCTAGTCCTCCACAAATTATCTGTTTGTGAGGTTCAGAAACAACATACCTAAGACACAGTCCTTGGCAGGCACTTTATCGTATTGTGGCATTAATCCGCTTGAGTTCCTGAAATGAAGCCTAATGAAGAAATAAGCTTCCATATCCCAGTTTCGCTCAGTAGCCTAAAGGGAGCACTAACTGACACATTTGTAACTTGACCATGTCACTTACATTATACGTGTTTTATTGTTCTTAAAATGCAATCTAAAATTGTTAAATTAATGCTAAACGTTAACCTCTCCTTTCAGAAATTGCCTGCAAAAGCTGTCTATGATTTCAAAGCTCAGACATCTAAGTAAGTACAATAAAAAGCTCACTATGTGTTTGAGCTTCATTCTTACGATTGTAGAAAGGTATGTTTGCATCCGTGAGTGTGTACAGCCGTGTGTGTGTGTGTGTGTGTGTGTGTGTGAATAGCAGCAGTGGGATGTATTCTAAATAAGAGCCAACTCTCAAGTCTATAATAGTCTAATCAGTTAGCTCCCTTAGAATTGCTAACTAGGCTCCCTTTCTTATTCTCAATAAAAAAAAGAAAAAGAAAAAGAAAAGAATTGCTAACTAGGACACAATACTTTATTTTCAAGTTCAGCTGCCTCAAGAACAGTCCATGGGACCTGCACACAGATGATCGTGTAGTGAACGCTCAGTCTCACAATGCTCAAAGCTTAGAGATTCCAAGGAAGGCCTGATCCTGTTCTGTGGTCCTTGAGTGTGAATGTGTTCATAGTCCTATGTTGTATTCTTTTAGGCTGTTTCTTTGGGAACTTCTTCATCCAAAAGACAAGGCAGGTAAATCAGAAAGGCTAGTACTGAGCACAAGGTAGATCTACATCAGAGACGGATGTCCCCTTCAAAAGCACGCCCCCCCCCCCCCCCCCCCCCCCCCCCCCCCCCCCGCATCACCAGAAAACCTCTCATTTGGTTTCACTTCAGAGTTTCCACCTCAGTCTCACGGTACTGTTTAGGTGGGGATAAAGCCTGTAACAAGGGGCCTTTGAGAAGCATTTGAGACACGAACTACAACATAACAGCATATTTGTCTCCCCTGTACTCCAGTCCTAATGACTGCCCTTAGGCCATGATGCGATGCTCTGTAAGATGGTATGAAAAAATTATATAAAAGATATTTTATTTTGTTTATTCTTTGTGACATATTTATTCCTATGTATATACCACCAGATGGGCGTCTGCCTAAGGCTCAGAATGTGTTCCAGGAAGAACAGAAAGTTGAGAGGGAAGGCAGGGGGTATGACAGAAGTTAGAGCACAAGGAGTAGGGGTTGAGTTGATCAAAACACATCGTATAAATGTATAAAATTCTCACAAACATATTTTGAAAAAAAAAATCAAGAATAAAAGTGAAAACACCCACAAGATTCAGGGTCAATGAGATGGCTCAGGGGATAAAAGTTCTTGACACCAAGCCTGACAACCTAATCCTTTAGTTTCTTATAATGGAGGAATCATTTACCTACAAGTTGTCCTCTGATCTCTAGACATGGTGTATATATGTGCACATATACCTGCACACACAGCGCACACAAATAAGTGTAAAATAAATACACAAATATAAACAAGCTTCAAAGAGGAGATGACACACATCCCAGAGAAAGGGGCCAAGAATATGCTTGGGTCACTAGCTTTCGATTGCCCCACAGGCCACGCCCCTCATCCTACCCAAGGGTCCCATTCTCTTCTGGAGTTCTTAGATGGAGAATCAGAGAATCTTGCTCCCCCACACTGCTGGGGGAGGGGTGAATCAGGGAGGCCATTGGCACCTTTCCGTCTGCACCGCCCCACCTTTCACTGAGAGCATGAGGAGGTTTGTCTCACAAAATCTAACTGTGTGAGCATTTGGTAAAGTAGATTCACCAGCCATCCAGAGAAGCCCCAAAAAGAAAGTGGGTCTGCTCTTCCTATAAATAGTTTGGTCTTATTATAGCTTAATGATCCTCCTCTTGTTCCTTTCTCAGAAAATATAAAGAGAGCACCCGTCACCTCCAATGTGGTTCTATATTTAACATAAAAATTAGGGTAATGGGCAAGTTGTGTCACTTTCAAGGCTCACACACCCATGTACCTCTGAAAACTGCATATCAAGCCAGTTTTAGCCTCTTTAAATGACCAAAAAAGATGTGAATGCTTCTGTACATAATATGAACCAGGCACACACTTAGGATGTACCTATGTTTTTTTAAAAAAAAATACGATTTAAAGCTATTTCTATTATTTTAACAGCTCAAAACTAATCCTTCTAAGACTAAAGCTAAGTAACATACCCAGCAAAATGTCTCCATTTTAGATGGGAGAAGAGACAGCATCTCGTTTCCCATAGGTCCAAAATAGCCAGTATTTCAAAGTGCTATAAAAATACAGCAAATTTATCAAAACAGGACTCTATCCCTGACATGAGAGGGACATAGTTTTGAAAACTGGGTAATAAGGCAACTTTCCCTTTACTGAATATATCCAGAATTCTAAATGCAAGCCTATATTAAGTAGAAAATAACCCATACTCGTATTAAAAGAAAAAATTAGTTGCTTATAATTTCCATAAATATTCAAAAACCTTAAATTGTTGTTCAGAAGTACTCCTGGTGCAAGCCAAAATATTGTTATAAATATTATATATGACTATAGACTAGCAAGGTCACAATAATCTGTCCCCTCTTTCAAATTTCATGTCCTCGCAGGATGTGGTTTATACAGGTGTTATCCATATACTTGATCTTCAAAATCACTTCCAAGATCACATAAGTGACCTCTAGAAATTTGTAAGGAAAATTCTCATCTAACTCAGCTTGGCAGATGTTTTCATGTGGGCAGGGTATTTCTCAGATAAATATGGAATGTCAATCATAAGACTAACAGTTACTCATCCAGAGAGTCCATTGGTCGTGTCTCTTGCAGGGAGCTATCGTTTAAGAAAGGAGATACTGTCTACATCCTCAGGAAAATTGACCAGAACTGGTACGAGGGGGAGCACCACGGGAGAGTGGGCATTTTCCCAATCTCATACGTAGAGGTACGTCCCTTTTACTCCTCACCTCCGGCAGGATGCTGTCCCAAAGGTTATCACAAGTTTAAGAACCAATAGTTGTTCTCCTTTATAGAAACTGACTCCTCCAGAGAAAGCACAGCCCGCCAGACCACCACCCCCAGTCCAGCCTGGAGAGATTGGAGAAGCCATAGCCAAATACAACTTCAATGCCGACACAAACGTGGAGCTCTCCCTGCGAAAGGTACCCCGGCTGTGTTCTTCACTGGGGTATTTTCACAGACCGTACAGTTCTGAACCCAAGATAGATTACCTTATTTTCTAGAACACCCTGGGTTTTGTTCAGTTCCTACAAGGGAGTCAGGATTGCCCAGGATCACTGTTACCTCTGGGCCCTGTGTCCCTTCCAGAGTGGGGTCCCTGTGAGACACAGAGTCTGTGGCTTAACCTAAGAAGCAAGACCCTGAGTCCCCACCAAAGAGGTGCCTCAACTGGATATTAAGAAGGATACAAGGGGAGAATGCATTTTAGTTATTTAGAATGCATTTTAGAACACACAGAGAACACAATTTGAAGAAAACATTCCAAACTGTCTTTAGGCTGCCCCATTAGTCAATTTTCAATAAGTAGCCAGTATTTACTTTTCTCTATCTTGGAATCAAGGTCCTAAAGTAATGAAAATATGTCCTCTCCAAAAGCCTTTGGGGAGCCAGCTGTGCAATCCCATTTCCTTGATCAGTCTTCTCCAGGCCTCGTGATGGCTCCCAATCTCTCTAGCAAGCTATCCGAGTACTTTGTCTTGCAGAGTGAGGGCGGGGCGGTTCAGGTCTGCAGAAGATGGTCGAGTTTTCTCTTCCCATTACAAGTTTTACATCATCCACAATTCTCTTACCTTCCTTGTGCACCGGTTGACACAGGAAACTGAACACAGTGTACTGTCTTCTGGTCCATACTGTAAAGATAGGTTGTCGTGTGAAATTCCCCAGGAAGGTCTGACTATCAGCTGCTGCTTCTGAGCACGTTAGAAAATTGATGCAATTTTGAGATTGGGGGGAGATTCGTCTTTCTTCAGTGTGCTCCACTCAGGATGGATGGGGCACATTTCGCAAACCATCCAGCACAATGAGTTGAAGAGGATCTTCAGGGCTCTGGCACTGAAAAGAACTCCGTGCTGTGCCGAAGCTAATGAGCAGATGGCACCTCCATGACTCTCTCAGACCCAGTTCCCCTAGTTCCATAGCTCCGAGCTGTGCCCACTGGGTTTGCTCTTTAGCAATGGCTTGCTAACCTTGGTGTGTCCCTCCTGTGGTTTTGAGTAATAAAGTTAAAGTTATCTGCCCTTGGCCTGCCCATTGCAGGAAGCAGAGTAGTGATTCCAAGTGCCTACTGTTGCAAAAATCAGAGTCTATTCGAATGGCTGGAATGGCGCAGCCACTCACCAACTGAAGGGATACGGGTGTCACACTGTCCTCATGAGAGCAGGGAGACGTCCGCCCACTCCACAGCTATGCGTATTCCAGATTGCCATTCTTGCCCCCTGCTTTTCATTCATTCTCTGTCACCTCTCAGGACACGCAGATCAAAGAAGGAAAAATGGTGAGCCATTCAACTGTATGCCTTGCAGAGGATGGCTTCCGTGACCTAGTTCAGAAGCACTTCCTTCTTCCTGCAGATCATCACGTCCCTTCTGGTAGAGATTAGATGAGGCTACTGTCCTTGAGACGGCGTTCCTCAGACCGGCTGCCTTGGCGCAACTTCCACGAACCATTTCACTTTATGCCAGTGTGTAGCATGTAGCAGCCCCTTCCCATTAACGGAATGGATTAAGGATCTTCAGCATCCTTAGGACTTTAATGTCATCAATGGACGGTTTAACCTGCATCCATGCCAACAATCTGGGCTTTTCTAACAAACACTAGAACCTTTCTTGCATTCTCCTGATCAAGCAGAAATGGGAGGCATAAAACTTTCCCAACTAGAAAACTACTGTTTATCAGAAAACAATGACTATCATGCTTTTCCTATTACTGCGTCTCTCCTTGTAACACTTTCCCCCAATGCTCGTTACAGGGCGATAGGATTATTCTTCTTAAAAGAGTTGATCAAAACTGGTATGAAGGCAAGATCCCGGGCAGCAACAGGCAAGGCATCTTCCCTGTTTCCTATGTAGAAGTCATCAAGAAGAACGCACAAGGTGCCGAGGACTACCCCGACCCCCCCATACCCCACAGCTACTCTAGTGATAGAGTCCACAGCCTAAGCTCCAACAAGGTAAGAAGCCCTTCTAGCACGTTAACGCTGCAGTTCAGAACTTGGAGCATGAGAATCAGTGGGTGATCTGGGGGGGTATCCGATCATCATTATTATTGAAAAGAAGCAAATTCATATATTGTGTTCCTATACGTGAGTGCCAGAGGAGAAAATGTAATTTTTCTCAAATAGATGCTGGGATAAAGGCTTGGTGTTCATTCTTGCTAATTCCATTTTCAAGTTTTAGTGCACAAAGAGGAAATCTCAGTAGCATCAGCATTTTTGAATAAGTGTCTGTATTTTGGTGTATGACCATTACACACACACATACAGACATATACACATTTACCCCAAAGTGTATTATAGTTATTAGGTTTACAATAATCTATGAAAGTGTTAAGGAATTTTCAACACATCATAAAACATTATTTTAATTTTGGGCCTATAATATCACATGAAAATATGATAGATTATTAGAAATACCCACAGTTCTTTTTTCGTTAGTTTTAGGACCATTCTTCCCCTGATTCACTTTAGCTGGTAACTGAAGATGACTCTCTCAGTAGAGTGTAGAAAGGACCCTCCCTCCTCAACTGGTTCATTAGACTAAGGCATCCTCCTACTTCCCTGGCTCACAGGATGTTTTTCCTCCTTTTCCTGTTGAATTATAAGGTATTTTATGGGTGTACTTAAGGGTCTCTTTCTCCTTTACAGTTATTTTAAACTATAAAAATTTTAAATCACCAGTGAGCTATTTCCAAAATATTGTCAAAAGTGAAAAAGAATGTATTCGGTTATATAAAATGTTAACTGTTTTAGTTGAGATCAAGGCAAGGCTATGCTGAAACAGACCATTTTGATTATGAAGTTTCTAGAACTCAACATTTAGAGAGCAACGCCCTTCCTTCGGTAGTTTCTATTGATAATGGGGAAAATCAGAATCTTTATCATCCACCTCTGCTTTGCCTACCCTCTATTTATCTTAAAGAACCATTAGATGACTGTCGAGGGACCGAACCGTTAAGTAAGCTGACGCAGGAGAGGAAAGCACAAATGCTTACTTAGCAATGAAAAACTTCTCCCATATGTTTTAATTAGCAATGGCAGGCTAATATTTTAAGTCAGTGTTTGTGGTCTTTGCTCTGAGTAGGTTTTAAATACCATTTATGTTTTTTGTTGTAATACCACATTGTAAATAGAGGAGTGTGTTAGTTTCGCTAATAACCAATCATTGTCTTCTTATTGTTCCAAAAAAAAGTATGTCAAAGTTTAAAGTCCATAATTTGAAAGAAATTTTACTTTCATCTCAACTGATAATTTATCATCTGATGTTATTGGCTTAATAAAGGAAATTCCTGTAGTGTTGCCCTGGTCAAAAAAGAAAAGGAAAAGAAATAGGTCTTTTTACATAGTAAGATACAAAAGCAGCAACCAGGCAGAGCTCCTGTTTTCTGACTGATACTTACAAATAGAGATAGGAATGCGTTGATGACTATTGAATCTCTCGGTAATTCAAGTTACAGGGCTTGACATATTTCTATTTTGAGGATGGCTCAAATATAAGCTGCTATTTATTTCTGATTTTGGTACAATAGAGTCCAATTCTAATCCCTTTTTAAGATGAAATAACTGGTTAAGAGCCCTGGCTGCTCTTCCAGCAGACCCCAGTTCTCCCAGCACCCGTGTGGCAGCCCACAACTGCCTGTCATTCCCGTTATAGGGGATCCGACACCCTCACACAGACACACAGACATATATGCAAACAAAACACCAATGCACATGAAATTAAAAAAAAATAAATTCTTTTTTAAAAAGATGAAACAGCTTTAATTTTGTGTTATAAGTATGTTTTGTGATATAGATACTCCCTAATCAAAATTAACATTTAATTTTGGTATTATCAAGTCCATCTTAAAGTGTTGGCTCTTTTGGCCTTTTAACATGTATAGAGGCAACACAGGGTGTGGCAGTGAAGTCGGTAGTGGCAGATAGCAATAAAGACTACAATCGCAATGATGATGGTGAAATTTAGAGATTTCTTGTGAATATGATATTTCTGCCCACATGAGAAAAAAATGAAGATATCCACCTTGAGATAGTATCAGTTTCATTCATTTCCAAAATCTAAATACTAAGATTAAATCTTGCACTTTTGTGCTTGTAACAAGAAGTGTAAAAGAGAACTCTAACCAGTATGAAAACTTCCATGAACTATCAAATGAAATTTGATATTTGATATTTTGTTTTCAGACAATCTATAAATTACATCCTTTGGCTTTACATAAAATATCAAGCTTAGAATATGACTTTGCATCATCCTCTTATGTCCCCTTCTGTGTAAACATTTACTTTGGGGTTGCTGGGTTTTTTTTTAAACTTTGAAGCAGGGGTTTTGCAAGATTGGTTTCATTCTGATCACAGGGCTCTTTGATTAAGAAATATGTCTTTAGCACTTATTCCCTTAAACATGTTCATGTATACTAATCTAAAATATTTTATGCCGTAGAGATTGGGCAATTGTAAAAATTCAAAGGAGTGGGCACCTCTGCAGGGCGGGAGAATAGTAAATAAATATGGGGATTAAAACAAAGTTTGATATTATTCTGTGTAACAATCCCCAGATACATCTGAAATATAGATAAAAGTCCACGCAGATTCAAAGAGATGTAGATTAATAGAAAGCCTCTTGGGGTTTTGTTGTCTGCCCTCTTGATCTCTAAGAAGCTCTATCTCCTCTTTTGATGCTTAGGATATCTTCCAAAACGAATAGAGTCCGATTGCTCAAGTAAGGTTTACAATTAGTCTATGATTTTATGCATTTAAATTTCAGATAAACTTTTCCCAATCTAGACATCCTCTAAGCATCTTCCATCTAAGTCTGTGCTACGGCCTGAATTATATTATCACCACACCTTCCCTGCGTTTCTCTGTTGTTGTATTTTCATGTGTTTTTGTTTTGTTTGTTTTACATCTTACTTCCTGCTCATTTATAAGCTGGCTTCCAGTGAACAGACCTGTCTTCCTGTATTTAATGCTCTGACCAGCACAGAGAAAGGAGACCTACAGGGAACTGCCCAAGAGTGGCTATCCCTGACAGACTGGTGTCCACCAGCAAACCCATTGGCTCCAACGCCATCTTCTGTCCTCGACAACTTCTTGGTTGAATTAGAGAAGTTTAGCGCTTTAACCTTACCATCTGACCAGGCCAAACCGAACATCCCAGACCAGGTCATCCTTGAAATTAAGGAGGAGCCCTCTAACCTCCCCCTCTCACTACCTCCAGCATCTCTACCAGTCAAATCACCTCACTGTCTCTCACCTTCTCCTCGCTCGAGTATCACCTCAGCTGGGGCCCAGCCTGATGATACATTGTCTCTTCAAGATTCCAGGATGGACAGACAAAGCAAATTCATAGATTTGAATAAAAAGAGAAGGAGCATTTCAGACCCTACCAAAATTCTTGAAGTCCTAGGTGATAAATTTGTGGCCTCTGCATGCACCAATGTGGGTGCCTTGGCTATAACTCTTCCTGTCATTGGAGAGGAAGATGAGGACATCCGGGAGGGGCTCGCGTACCAGAGAAGGCTGCCGGGAGCCCAAGAGCGAGCTATCACGTGGTGTGACCACAACAATGCAGAGGAGACACCGCAACTGCACATCAAGGAGGAAGAAGAAGAGGAGGACCCTGACTGCTTAAAATATTCACTAGGCATTCGCACACACCCTAGGACCCCCAAAGAAGACTTCAAGGCAGCAAAAAACAGTAGTGAGGTATTTAATTTGGTCTAATAACTGGGACTAACCAGTTTTACAATAATCCAGCAGCGTTAATGACATTACTAAACACTTACTTCTGACACTGCCTTAGCAGGCTTCCTTATGAGGAATAGAAGCATTGGAAACTCCAGGGTGGAAAGAATCTGCAAACACGACATAGTTTATTACAATTCCACTGTCCCATTATTCCTTTGTCACGATAAATTTACCTTTTATATACTGAAGCTTATCCTCTTTCTAATGATAGCTAACTGTTAACTTTTAGTGTCAGGTGCTAGTCTCAGAACCCGACATCTTTAATTTTCAAGACCCAGAGAGATAGGAAATAGGGCTGTCCCCACCTCAGAGATGAGAAAGCTGACGGATAGACAGGTTTTTCTAGTGATCTGCCTGCCTATTTCAGATAGTATCCTAGGCTTGGCATTCATCCTGCTGAAGTGAGCTCAACAAACAGCTCACGCTATGCTCAAAGAGGTTCCGACTCCCTAGCTGTGTTACTGTTTACCTTACTTTAACCAACTAAAGTTAAAGTTTAGGAGTTTTACTGCCATCATGTTGAAGGGGGGAAGAAAGGCCTCTCAGACAAGACTAATAGAACACTGTTATCTCCAACCACCCATAGTACCCAAAGCATACCCATTGAGATTCGGAAATTAAAATTCCACGGGCTAAGTCAGTGCTTTCAAAGCAAGAATACATTAATACCACTTTCCCCTGAGATATTTTACAACCTTTTCAGCTATTAGACGTGAAAGGTACTCTCTGAGGACCAGGTCCCTTCATCTGAGCACGGTCATAATCACATCTTGTCTTTCCTCAACATTTAAGCCACCTTCATTTGCTTCGGGAGATGGAACTGCCACGCCTTTCCCCAGCTGTCTGTCTCCCTCCCCTCCGTGTCACTCTTCTCTGGCCTCTGTCTCTGACCTTGCCTGTGAGTGCTTTCAGCCCACCAGGGCCGCTTCACCTCCTCTCCTTCCCAAACACCCTCATCAACAGGAGATAAGTTCACCAGAACCAAAGGTAACTGCATCTTGAGTGTGGTTCAGTTTATTGCATGCCTTTCCACGATGTTCAGTAGGTGTCTGCCTTTAGATTCATGACGTCTTACAAGCTCTAAAAAGTTATGCATATTGTGATTGCTAACTTTTAACATCATCAGCATGGCCTCCATCCCATAATTTGAGAGATAAAATCCACATACCAACTACACCCATACTGAGAAGGAAACCCTAAAACTTACT